TAAATACCGTAGAGGCCTTGGGAATAGGGACTAAGATGATAAATTGGATAAAGGAGCTCTATTAACAGCCCATCCGCAGTGGTGAAGGTAAACAGGTCCCTCTTGAGGTCTTTTAAGATTTACAATGGTACAAGGCAGGGATGCCCCTTATCCCCATTTTTATTTGTAATATCCCTGGAACCTTTGCTGGCGACGGTAAGAAAGAGTGTAGATATAAGAGGGATTAAGATAGGTGAGATAGAGCATAAGGTAGTGACATATGATATGTTGTTTAATATTGTGAACCCTGGGTTAACTTTGCCTAACCTAATGGGATTACTAAAAGTGTACGGAGAGCTTTCAAATTTGAAAATAAATCCCTCAAAATCAGAGATCTTGAACATTAGTGTTTCAAAGAATGTGATGCAGATTTTACAAAAAGACTTTGCATTTTCATGGTGGGAGAAGAAATTAGGTTACCTAGGCGTAAAGTTGACTCCTTCTATAAATAATATATATTGGGAAAACTATATTCCATTAGTAAATGAAATAAAGGATGATCCAAGAAAACTCTCAAGGGGAAGAGTCTCTTGGATCGGTCGTATTAATCTGTTTAAGATGGTGATCGTCCCAGAAATCATATATAAATTTCCCATGCTACCAGTCCATATCCCAGGATCCTTCTTTGGGATAATAAAAAAACTAATACTTAAATATATATGGGCTAATAAGAAACCGAGAATTTGGTATGAAGTTCTGTGTAATAAGAAAGAGAAAGGTAGATTAAACCTGCCCACTATTAGGAACTATTACACTGCGGTGATGTCACGAATTGCAGATTGGACATATAATTCACAGGGGAAGAGTTGGGTTAAAATAGAAGGTACCGTATTTTCCGGTGCATAAGATGACTTTTTGACCCTTGAAAATCTTCTCAAAAGTCGGGGGTCGTCTTATACGCCGGTACACGTCAGGGGGCACATTTTAGGGGGGCGGCGCGGTGCTGCCGCCATCCCCCCTTCCGACAGAAGGGACACTAAGTACAGGGGTGGGCAGAGGGCTGCAGTCTCTTACCTGGCTCCCACGACGATCCATCCAGGAAGCGCTGCTCCTTCAGTCACTCCGGCCACTCCCTCACTCCTGCCGCTCGGCTCCGCCTCCTCACTGGTGATTGGCCGCCAGAACTGTAGCTCAGGAAAGGCACACAGGCGGCCAATCACGTGTGAGGAGGCGGAGCCGAGCGGACCCACGAAAAAATAGAGTGAGGGTAAGTGTGCAGTGCAGAGGTGCTGCTGCAACCACATATGCTGGCTGCAGCAGTACCATACTAGAACAGGAGTCAGCAAGTGTCATTGGTGTCAGTGGGAGGAATAGTGCCCCATCATTGGTGTCACTGATACTAATGATGGGGCATTATTCCTCCCACTGACACCAACGATGGGGCGCTATTCCTCCCCCCACTGACACCAACGATGGGGCGCTATTCCTCCCCCCACTGACACCAACGATGGGGTGTTATTCCTCCCCCCACTGACACCAACGATGGGGCGCTATTCCTCCCCCCACTGACACCAACGATGGGGCGCTATTCCTCCCCCCCCACTGACACCAACGATGGGGCGCTATTCCTCCCACCACTGACACCAACGTTGGGACGCTATTCCTCCCACCACTGACACCAACGTTGGGACGCTCTTCCTCCCCCCACTGACACCAACGTTGGGACGCTATTCCTCCCCCCACTGACACCAACGTTGGGATGCTATTCCTCCCACTGACACCAACGATGGGGCGCTATTCCTCCCACTGACACCAACGATGGGGCGCTATTCCTCCCACTGACACCAACGATGGGGCGCTATTCCTCCCACTGACACCAACGATGGGGCGCTATTCCTCCCACTGACACCAACGATGGGGCGCTATTCCTCCCACTGACACCAACGATGGGGCGCTATTCCTCCCACTGACACCAACGATGGGGCGCTATTCCTCCCACTGACACCAACGATGGGGCGCTATTCCTCCCACTGACACCAACGATGGGGCGCTATTCCTCCCACTGACACCAATGATGGGGCGCTATTCCTCTGACACCAATGATGGGGCACAATTCCTCCCACTGACACCAATGATGGGACACTATTCCTCACACACTGACACTAATGATGGGGAACCATCATTGGTGTCAATGGGAGGAATAGTGCCCCATCATTGGTGTCAGTGGGAGGAATAGTGCCCCATCATTGGTGTCAGTGGGAGGAATAGTGCCCCATCATTGGTGTCAGTGGGAGGAATAGTGCCCCATCATTGGTGTCAGTGGGAGGAATAGTGCCCCATCATTGGTGTCAGTGGGAGGAATAGTGCCCCATCATTGGTGTCAGTGGGAGGAATAGTGCCCCATCATTGGTGTCAGTGGGAGGAATAGTGCCCCATCATTGGTGTCAGTGGGAGGAATAGTGCCCCATCATTGGTGTCAGTGGGAGGAATAGTGCCCCATCATTGGTGTCAGTGGGAGGAATAGTGCCCCATCATTGGAATACAATACCATATTGAAATCAAATCTGATGTTTTTTTAATTTGTGGTGTGCGTTGGAAGAGGGGTAGTCTTACACGGCGAGTATAGCCCAAACCCTATATTTTAACAGGAAAAGTAGGGGGTCGTCTTATACGCCCAGTTGTCTTATACACCGGCAAATACGGTATATTAAGTAATACAAGATTCAAGAGGATTATCTGAGTACCACAAAATTTTCGCACTATGGATGAGACTAGTAGTACATTAACACAGGCGGTATTAAGAGCATGGGATAGAATGAACAATCAAATGGATTGGAAGTACAATTCATTGTTGATTCCCCTGGTGGGTACTGATTTTTTCCCGACGGGGGGAAGGATAACATTTCAGGGAAATGGTTTAAAGATGTAGATGCACGTTTGGGGAATATAGTAGTTAAAGGGAAGTTGGGTACTTTTTAAGACTTAAAGAGCAAAAAAATTAGATTAGATGAACTGAGATATTGTCAGCTAAGACATTTTGTTGCGAAGTTGCTCCAAACACTGAGGATGACGGAGGACATGCTCCCGATTGAAAAGATGTTGGGTTCCAGTATGTTACATCTGGGATATATAAGATTCTTGTTAAATTGGGGGGGGTCCTGTGCTGTTCTTAGAGAAATGGGAAAGGGAACAAAAATGAATGAATCACAGAAAAATAAAGTGTTTGAAATTAACACATGGGTCGATTTACATGAACATGGTTGAAATGAATTATAAATGTTTAACAAGGTGGTATTTGATACCGAGTGTTGCACATAAACAATGTGTAGAAGTCTCACCGTTATGTTGGAGGGGATGTGGATTTAAGGGAACAATAGCACATATATGGTGGGACTGTCCAAAAATAGTGGGGTTTTGGCAAGATGTAATCCAGTTCATACAAGAGATTTTGGGGACAATTATACAGAAGGACCCGTGGGTGTGTTTGTTTTATAGGACAGAAGCACCAGTGAAGCAGTATAAAAACAGTGTATTATACCACCTAATCAGTGCGGCTAACGAGCTTATTCCAAAACTTTGGCAGTTACAGGAGCCTCCAACAACGAGAGACTGGTTAGACAAGGTGGAATATATATAATAAGATGGAGTTATAGCACATAGACGAAGGTAATATGGGTAAATTTAGAAAGGATTGGGGAAGATGGTCTGACTTTAAGGCATCTGGAAAGTATTTGGAAGTAGTGGGAGGCCTAGGGATCTGATTGGAGGTAAGAGAATAAAGGGAATGTTTAAGGCAGTAGCAGGAACAGGAGAAGGGAAAAGAAAGGTTGGAGGGAAAGAAAGAATAGTAAGAAAAAGGAATAATTGGAAGTGAGGACTGAGGAGAAAGACCACAGGTATGGAATAGAAAGTTGGAAAGAGAAGAGCTATATGGACCGGGATAAATTGTAAGGGGGTTTGGGTGAGGGGGGTAGTGGGGAGGTGGGATTGTAAAATTTAGGGGAATGTCTGTATTTTGGATGTAAATGATACTTTGCTGTGTTTTTGTAATGGAAAAAAAAAAAAAAAAAAAAAAAAGTTTAATAAAAGATTTAAATAAAGAAAAAAAAAAAAAAAAACGAACAAGTAGAACAGGCACCCCCAGGGCCAATCAATTCTACTTTTTAGATTGCTGCTGGGGCACATCCTGAAGCCAGGAGTACCTTTCATAAAAGTTAAAGGCCAACTCCACCTTTAAAACTATATTTAAAGTGTTATTAAACCCACAACAGTAAAATCAGTCTGTATATGCAGTATTGCATGCTTGTTTTACTCACTGTGGAACCTAAGGAGTCAATCCTCTGCATTTTGCAAAAAGGCTGTTTGATTCTGACTTCTCTGATCCTCCCCTTCTTCCAGTGCCCCCCTCTTTCCCCTGATAAGACATACTGTGTGGAGTCACTCTGCACATGCTCAGTTTGGTGTGTATTGCTAGAGTTGTTCTTTTTTTCTTGGGAGAGTGAATGTGATCAGCACAGGGCCAATCAGCACTGTCCAGGCAGAGGTCAAGGGTTCTGCATCCTCTTAAAGCAAAATGAAAACTCCTCCTACAAACTTTAACATGTGCTCGGCTGGACATTGATAGAAGTCACAAGACTGCTATATACTGCTGATGAGAAAATCAGTTTATATTTACTAAAATAATTGCATTTCCATGTTGTGTGTACTGTGGGAGACCAGATATAGTGAATGCCGGGTCCGGGGTTTAGTAACACTAAGATAGGGTTTCTCAACCACGGTTACATGGAAACCTAGGGTTCCTCCAGAGGTTGTAAGGGGTTCCTTGAGCAATTTATGTGCAAAAATATGTGCATTGTTTGTTTGTTTTTTTGGAAAGGCAGACTTCGTCTTTAACTCTTGAGCCATTGCTGTGCTGACTCACCTGCAGGGTAGTTCCCAGCCAAGCATTTATACGGTGGGGACATGGTGAAAAATTAAAAGCAATATGAACATAGTGCCCCCAAGTGACAAACAGTACTTACCAACAGATTCTTGATCTTGCGGCTTAATTGCGTTTTCTGCTCTTCTAGGTTGTGGATATCCTGCTTCTTCCTCTGCAGTTGCTCCCATAAGCTCAACTGTGAAATCAACAAGATAGGAAATCCCTTTACATCATGTTCCTCTGATAGCATAAAACACTGCAGTGATTGCTTTACACTGTGACTGAATGAAAACTGACCCTGATCATTTCTCAATTCTTTGTCTGTTCAGACTGGAAATCTGTCTTGTCTTCTGTATTAAATCTGTATTTGAATTATTCAGACAGTAATGCCGGTTAGACAAAGGCTGAATACTGGCCGAAATCAGCTGGTACCGGAGAAAACCGGCTGACTTTCAGCCTGTGTGTACAGCTGCTAGTCCGACAGAAGCTAGTCCGACAGAAGGCAATCCCACAACTGGCTTGTCGAACGTGCATTTTCGAAAACCTGCAGCCGACAGGCATCTGATTAGTGCTTGCAGCGCACTGACCGTTTTCTGTCAAGTTTTTTTTTTTTTTTTATCATTCAGCCTGCTGGGTTGAAGGAAAAAAAAAAACTTCCGATGTGTACCAGGCTTTACACTTGGATGCCAAGGGATGCAGACACACAGGTCTGCAAACCTGTCAAAGACACAGCCTGATTTGCAACTAATTTTGTTACGAATTTCAAAAATAAGGTCCCTACTGAATCTTTACTGGCTGGTTATGCTGTAAAGAAAGGCTGCACGCAAAAAAGGGGGAGCAAAAAAACAAGCAATAACAAAGGTATGTCACTACATTTATTCCTAGCAGGGTGTTGATAAGATGGTTACTTCAGAGTGGTCAGTGTTGCATAGCAGAGCAGGAAGGCACGCTGATATCAATCAGTGCTTTTAAAAATATATACATTAAAAAGGGAAAAAAGAAAGGCGTAAGTAAATATGTTGGTCAGTGCAAAAATGTGCCAGTAAGTATGACAGTCAGTGCTACGTGTCACAAGGGCTCATTTACACCTGTTTTTTCTCTATGAAGGGCAACCCACATTTGAGTTACTCTTCAGAGAGCAATTAACAGATGGTGAGGATGTGTATCGCCTCCTACCTGCCTGTTTTAACCCCCTAAATACTGGACAACTGAGCTGCACACGTTGTTATTGGTTGCAGCGCAGCCCCATTCACATGAATGCCTCTGCAGCAAAAGGGGAGCGGTTGAGAGAGCAGTAATCCCCCCCCCCTCCTGCTCCCCAAATGCAAGTGTAAACAAGCCCTAAAGATGTCAATAAATGCAGCATGTCAGTAAGTGTGCTAGTCCTGTCTGTTAGTAAAAGTGTTAGGCCCCCTGCAGAGTACGTGTGTTCGTGTTTTTTTCCTGAACACATGGGGCCCTAAATGTGAGTACCACTCAGTACAGCCATCCAGATGGAACATAGATCAGCCTGCCATAGACTATGACAGGTTGCAGCCAGAATTTTCCTGCACTCCCATTGACTTCTATGGGCCCCTCGATGCACATCAACAGGTGAAAAAACACACCTGACCCACCACAACACAATATATGTATGTGAGCCAGACCCGATGAATACAATGAGATGTTAGGTACGGGGTTCTGCTCTGCTGTAGAGTGTGGTATGACAATTCAGTGTGACCTGACCTCATCATACAGCCAAATCTACCACACAGCCTTCACCCATCCTCCATAGAATGGGGCCCCCAACAATGCCAGAGATGGACACAGTCCATAGGGAAGGTGTCTGCAAGTGACCCCCTCCTCAGGAAGGATCTCTCAGAGGTGTACATGCCCCGCTGCATTCACAGTTTGGCGTTTGGTGAACACAGAAAACATTGCGTTGCACATGTGTCATGTTTTCACCCCACACATGTAAGGCAGGCCATTCATTTCAATGAGATGAGCTGTCATGAGTTTATGAAAGACTATAGTGTGAATGCAGCGTTTGGGACAATTCCTCAGAGGCTGGGGGTGTACACATGCCACAGCCGTGATCCTTTCAGAGATGTGCAATTTGTATCACCTGACATGTCGTTCCGGGCGCTGGGCAGGTTTCTTTTAACCTTTAGCCCTGCTGCGGGAAAACAGCAGGACTCACCTGTCAGATGGAAGCATTCGGGCGGCAGAGATGCCACCGACTGCTTCCACACAGCCCCCAGCAGTGCCAGTCTCCTCTGACACCTCCCCATCCCTGACCGCCATCCTGGTCGCTATGCTTCCGAAGCTCTGCTTGCCCATGTACGGGCCCGGGACCGGTTCGGGGAGTGCCAGCGTGTAGAAGGGAGGGAGGAGCCAAAAGTGGTCCTGACGCAGAAGTGACTTTATGACATCACTTCCGGATCCCTGTTGAAAGATTTCCCGGCCAATGTGCACTGCATTACATCCAGTACAGTACAGGGGGGACCCTGGATGTATCATTAAAGTGAACCTGTCACCAAAAATCATCACATAGGGGACATTTTGACGTTTTGAGGATCCCCACATATGTGCATGTACAAACGTAAAAAAACATACCGGGGCACCTACACATTAAAACGTTGATTGCACACGCCAGAATGAGAGCAATAATTCTAGCACCAGACCTAACACTAAACTGATGAGCTATAAAAGGTGCTTTAAAAAACATCACCTATAGAAAATATAGGGTACTGAAGTTTGTCGACATTTCACAAGGGCATGCAAATTTAAGGATTAACATGTTGGATATCTATTTACTCGTTTATATTTTACAGGAAAAAAAAAAAAAAAAAAAAAGGGTAATTTATTGCTCTTTTTTGTGTCCTAAAATTGAATGCAATTTTTACTGAGATTTTTTGTTTCCTAGAGCTTTGTGATAATATCGTGTGACATAGAAAATTTAAACTACCGCTATTTTATTCTCTAGGGTCTCTGCTTTCAGAAAATATATAATATTTTGTTTTGTGTAACCTTCATGCCTAAAATAATTATTTAAACATGTGCAAAAAAAAACGCAAAAAAAAAAAAAAGGCTACTGGCAGCAAAAGAGATAAAGGATAAGCCGGACATGCCCCTTTCCTGACCAGCACCCAGTTGGTCCTCATTACACTGCAAGGTTTCTCCCCTCCCTGCAAGTCCCCAGGTGCGGTGCTGGAGACAGGCAGGGAGGGGAGGAGGAAATAAAGATTTTTAACATTGCGCTGTTTAAGTCGCCATAAAGCCCCCTTTGTTTTTAAAAGTCCCAGACATCACTAAAATCACCTCCGATTTAAATACAGTTTTGGCTAAAATGTAATAATAAATGTGATTCTTGTGAGAGACTATGGTGTGTACTATGGGTGAGAAATTATAAAGTGAATGAGCATATAAAGAAACCAAACAGGTTGTTGAAATATCACCGTCTGTTAGGTATTAGTTGCAGTGAAATAAATCAATTAAGCTGGTGTGCAAAATATGAAATAATTAAATGAATGAGTGGGTCGCCTACACTAAACACAAAACTCATACCAGTGTGCCAAAACAAATCAAAAACCAATAGTGTTGTGCTCCACTATCACACACACACACACACACACACACACACACACACACACACACACACACACACACACACACAAAATGATGGGCGCAAGGCGGTTCTCTCGTTCTGGGAGGATGTCATATCACGTCCTCCCATTCCCTCCTCCCATTCCCACCGTGCATGCTCGGCTCAGGGAGCGCGCAGAGCAGCAATCGGCGGTGCGCAGTGCCCCTCGGACACAGCGGATCACCAATCCATGGAAAGAGCCAAAGATGTCGGCTCGGTCATGTGATCAGCTGTGTCCAATCACAGCTGATCACATGTAAACAGGAAAATGCCGATTACCGGCATTTCTCTCCTCTCGAGCTGTCACGCTGACAGCTCGAGAGGAGAGCCGGTAATCGGCATTCCGAGGAGGGGACATGTACACTGATCAACATGATCAGTGTGCACCGATGATCAGGGTAGCCCCAGCAGTGCCACCTGTCAGTGTCCATCAGTGCCAGCTGTGAGTGCTCATCAGTGCCACGTGCCAGTGTCACCAGTGCCACATATCAGTGCCCATCTGAGCTGCCTCAGTGTCACCCATCAGTGCCAGTCAGTGCCGCCTAACAGTGCCATATATCAGTGCCCATCAGTGATGCCTGTCAATGCCCATCAGTGCCACCTACCAGTGCCTCATCAGTGGCCATCAGTGAAGGAGAAAAATTACTTATTTACAAAATTTTATAACAAAAACGAAGAAAAAACGTTTTGTTTTTTTTTTTCCAAAATTTTCAGTGGTTTTTAGTTTGTTTAACCATTTCCAGTCCGGACACTTTTACCCCCTTCCTGTCCAGGCCAATTTTCAGCTTTCAGTGCTATCACCCTTTGAATGACAATTGCGCGGTGATGCAACACTGTACCCATATGAATTTTTTAGCATTTTTTTGAGACAGATAAAGCTTTATTTTGGTGGTATTTATTCGCCACTGGGAGTTTTATATTTTTGCTATGTAAAACAAAAAAAAGGCCAAAAATTTTGAAAAAAGGTGTTTTTCTTATAAAAGTTTGCAAATAAATAGTAATTCATCATAAATCTTGGCCAAAATTTATTTCGTTATATTTTTAGTAAAACAAAAAATCCAAATTAGTTTATAACCAAAAATTATAATTTTTAAACATTTTTTTTTACGTACTGTCACCCTAGCAGTACAGTGTCACCATGGTGACACTGTACTACTTGTGCGGGGTAATGAAGATTTTTTTTTTTTTTACACTGATTTTACACCCTTTATGGGTATAAAAGTAATCATTTCTCCTTCTCTCTAGCTGCATTCTTGCAGCCATGAGAACTACTGAGTGAGCTGTGATTGGTCACAGCTTGTCACATGGTACAAGGCTGTTGTAAATAGCCTTGTACCAAGTGACCTCTGTGATCATTCACAGATTTCACACGTAGTAAGTAATGATGTCACAAGTGACATCTTGCTTACTACTCTGCATGTGATCACTGATTGGCCAATCAGTAATCACATGATCGGGACCTCGCACAGAGGTCCCGTTCGATGACCGGTGTTCCACTGTGTCCGGAGGACATAAACAGCTATAAATAGTTATAAACGGCCACCCCGACCCTGCACTGCCACCGTCCGGCCGTTTATATACAACGACTGGACAAGAGGTGGTTAAGGAAAAAAAACCCCAGAGTTGATTAAAAACCACCATAATAAAGCTCTGTCACAAAAAAATGATAAAAATGTCATGAGTACAGTGTTGCATGACTGCGCAATTGCCATTCAAAGTGTGACAGCGCTGATAGCTGGAAACTGACCTGGGCAGGAAGGGGGTATAAGTGCCCTGTGGGCTAGTGGTTAAAACAAGTGAATAAGTCCAATATTCTTTCCACAGCGTGATATTGCAATCACTAGGCTACATGCATATTTTTGGATTATCCGTGACATTGAGGTGTCTTCCTAATGGTGTAATACAAAGTATATATAGTCCACCAATCTTATGTAATGTGCTCCTTCACCAGTTGCGCTCTCACCTGACGTCATACAAGCCTGTGTTCCTTTAATTGGACTCCGAGGTGAACAGATGGATAAATCCCTGTTTCCCAGATGGATGGATGGATGGATGAATGGAGTATTTTTTTCCTTTTCACAGCAGGGGGTCTCGCCGCTTCCTAGGGATCTTATTCCTGGAGGCGGATGGATGGAGTTATCCCTCTTCCCACTAGGGGGTCTCTTCACTCCCTTCAAACTTTCTCCTCCATGCATATATACCTGCTGCAGAAACAAATGTGAATGTATGTTTTATATAGCAACCACATAGAATGGGCTTGTGACACAGATTGACCTTGGCGCTCACTTCCTACAGACAAGAGTATGGGCATTTGCTGTCCCCTACTCTTGTCTGTCTGTGGGAAGTGAGCACCAAGGTTAATCTCCATCCATCCATCTGGGATACAGGGATTTATCCATCTCTTCACCTCTGAGTCCAATTAAAGGGACACGAGCTCGTATGACCTCACTTAACGGTTTGGTCATATATGTCAGGTGAGAGCACAACTGGTGAAGGAGCACATGACATAAGATTGGTGGACTATATATACTTTGTATTACACCATTAGGAAGACACCTCAATGTCACGGATAATCCATAAATATGCATGTAGCACCAGTGATTGCAATATCATGCTGTGGAAAGAATATTGGACTTATTCACTTGTTTTCATTTTTTATTTATTTATATATATATATATTATTGATAGTGGAGCGCGACACCATTGGTTCTTGATTTGGTTAAAATGTATTTCTTTTTATCAGGACAAGTAGATTATCATGAAGGAAAGTAGACTGGAACCCCGATGTAGTCCCTGGACAAGTAGTTTGTACAAACATTTCCACACCCCTTTGCTTTGCAACTGCAGCAGGCATTATACCCACTGTTACTTTCAGTGGACTCTCTGCAGCTGCCCTTCAACCGCATGCCATGTACCTACAGAGTTCAAGGGTTTAAAGCAGGCAATGAGGAGGCGATACAATACTTACTCACAAATACTTACTGACAAATGCTCTCTGAAGAGTGAACAGAAAAAAGTGTCAGGAAGTGCTGGGTGTCAGTCAGTAAGGTGTCAGTCAGTAAGGTGTCAGCGGGTGCAGTCTGTCAGTCAGGAAGTGCAGTGTGTCAGTAAGGAGTCAGGAAGTGCAGTGTGTCAGTAAGGAGTAAGGTGTCAGGAAGAGTGCAGTGCAGTGTCAGTGCAGTGTGTCAGGAAGTGCAGTGTGTCAGGAAGTGCAGTGTGTAAAAGTGTGTCAGTAAGTGCAGTCAGTGGAGGTGCAGTGTGTCAGTCAGTAAGGTGTCAGTGAGGCAGTGTGTCAGTCAGTAAGGAGTCAGTGAGGGCAGTGTCAGTCAGTAAGGAGTCAGTGAGGGCAGTGTCAGTCAGTAAGGAGTCAGTGAGGGCAGTGTCAGTCAGTAAGGAGTCAGTGAGGGCAGTGTCAGTCAGTAAGGAGTCAGTGAGGGCAGTGTCAGTCAGTGTCAGTCAGTACGCTGTCAGTGAGGGCAGTGTCAGTCAGTACGCTGTCAGTGAGGGCAGTGTCAGTCAGTACGCTGTCAGTGAGGGCAGAGTGTCAGTCAGTACGCTGTCAGTGAGGGCAGTGTCAGTCAGTACGCTGTCAGTGAGGGCAGTGTCAGTCAGTACGCTGTCAGTGAGGGCAGTGTCAGTCAGTACGCTGTCAGTGAGGGCAGTGTCAGTCAGTACGCTGTCAGTGAGGGCAGTGTCAGTCAGTACGCTGTCAGTGAGGGCAGTGTCAGTCAGTACGCTGTCAGTGAGGGCAGTGTCAGTCAGTACGCTGTCAGTGAGGGCAGTGTCAGCCACTAAAGCTGTCAGTGAGGGCAGTGTCAGCCAGTAAAGCTGTCAGGAAGTGCAGAGTGTCAGTAAGGTGCCAAAGTACAGTGACAGGAAGTGCAGTGTGTCAGTAAGGTGCCAAGAAGTGCAGTGTCAGGGGAAGTGCAGTGCGTCGTAAGGTGTCAGGGAGTGCAGTGCGTCGGTAAGTGTCAGGGAGTGCAGTGCGTCGGTAAGGTGTCAGGGAGTGCAGTGCGTCGGTAAGGTGTCAGGGAGTGCAGTGCGTCGGTAAGGTGTCAGGGAGTGCAGTGCGTCGGTAAGGTGTCAGGGAGTGCAGTGCGTCGGTAAGGTGTCAGGGAGTGCAGTGCGTCGGTAAGGTGTCAGGGAGTGCAGTGCGTCGGTAAGGTGTCAGGGAGTGCAGTGTCAGTAGGGGGCGGCAGTGGTGTGTCGGTATGAGCAGTCATTCATTGGTGTATCAGTGCTCGGTATCCCCCCCCCTCTCCTCCTCTCACCAGCTCCCTCAGTGTCCCCTTTTCGACTCCCCTGGCTTTCCTCTCGTTCAATTCCCGCTCCGCCTCCTCCAGCTCCCGGCTCAGTCTCTCCATATCCAGCTGAGGCCGCCCGCTGTATCCCGCCTTCACATGTTCATAGAGGCTGCTCGTCGGTTCTCCCTCGCTCTGTATCCGGCTGGTCGGTTCTCCCCCGCTCTGTATCAGGCTCGTCGGTTCTCCCTCGCTTTGTATCCGGCTCCTCGGTTCTCCCCCGCTCAGTAACCGGCTCCCCGCCGGCCACCTTTTCCACATAGACCGGGCACACAGCTTGGCCAGCATCATGCAGGCTGCCATCTTCACCGGGTACCCGGAACTGGCCAATCACAGCGTGAACCGGAGTCTCTGACACTACAAGCGGCCAATCATGAAGAGAGCTAGAACTTTGCAATTAGTGTAACCAATCACAGACAACCCGTATGACCCCTGCCGTATATTACACCAATCATGGAACAATATCTTTCTGTCGGTCAGAGGCGGGGCTCGATCTCCGTAGCGGACTGTTATTGGTGAAGGGGCGTATTTGCTCGTGAGATGGTAGGAGCTTCAATAATGTGATTGGACGGGAAGAAAAGTTTGCCCCTACTAGGCACGCCTCTTACAGCATTGACCCGGAAGTAGCCGCACATGGTGTACTGAACGTATGGGTTTGGTCTTGGGGGATCTTCAAGGTGAGTGAGGATCAGCAAGGCATGCTGGGACTTATAGTGTGATAAATGAGTCAGTGATCGTGTAGATGTCTGTTCCTACTGTCCTAGTCACCTTCAGCTGAATTATTACTTTTATTTGTTATTAATGATTATTAGAATAATTTTGTGTTGTATAAATCTATAAAGTGCACATTTATAAAGTAAACAGTATCATTTTACATAATTATTACCAACTAGGGCTGAATTATTATCTTATCTGCTATTACATGTGGAATATTTATATAGTTCCATATCTGCCAATCCCTCCACTGCCTTCCCATTGCCCAACGGATAAAATTCAAAACATTAACAATAACATATAAAGCCATTTATAACTCTGCCCCAAACTACATCACCAATCTTGTCTCCAAATATCACCCAAACTGTACTCTCTGCTCCTCCCACGACCTCCTGCTCTCTAGTTCCCTTGTCTCCTCCTCCCATGCTCATCTCCAGGACTTCTCCAGAGCCTCCCCCATCCTCTGGAACTCTCTACCCCAATCTATCCGACTATCACCTGCTTTGCTCACTTTCAGGCGATCTCTGAAAACCTATCTCTTCAGGGAAGCCTATCCTGCCTTCAGCTAATAACTGAATCTTCTATTCCTTCTATCAGTTCATCCCCCACAGTTTTTACCTTTTGTACCACCAGCCCCTCCATGTTAGATTGTAAGCTCCCAGGATCAGGCCCTCCTATCCCTCATGTATTGAACTGTATTGTCTCCCTTTATATTGTAAAGCGCTGAGCAAACTGTTGGTGCTGTATAAATCCTGTATAATAATATGTGTAAAACACAATGTTGTGCAGTAATCTGAGTCACAGGATGCTCCTATATCTTTGCAGATAACATTTAACTGAGCCAGGATGTTCTTAGCTGGAGTTCGGAACCTTGTCTGCGCCCCCTGGACCTGGGGTAAGTCTGTACAGCTGCATTGTCCATTGACACAGTGCCTAATGCAGGCCATAGTCCGCTCGATTATCGGCTGATATTCACACCGTTAGTGGGGCAATGTCATCGGCCGATTTTCACGGTTCTTGTCATTTTTTTTATCGGTCATGCTGGAAAATCTACGCAAAACGGACGTTTTTTGTAAGCATTGGTGGCAGCAGAACGACCGATTTGTCATTTTTTCGGACGACAGTTCGGTCGATAAAGGACCCATCTATGGCCAGCATTAGAGCACTTGATGCTTGAAGACAGAAGGGTTACTTCACCCCTCCCCCATCCTGGGGATAATGCTGATCTTAACCCCTTCTTACCCTTGACTAAAGACTAAAATAGCATACTCCTCCACCCTGCGAATCCAGTGCTGTCCTACTGTGATCTGCCACACAACAGTCCCGCACTGCACCAATGTCATCAGGAGGCTGGCTGTTTTTTGTTTTTTTTTTTTTTTGGGGGGGGGGGGGGTTCTAGCAGCCAGCCCCTGATAACTCTCACTGAGCACATGTAGTGTTGCCTTCATAGTCTCAGAAAGCAGGGGAAAACATCGATTTTTACTAAGTGAGATAGCAAATGGTAAACAAAAAAAAAAAAAAAAAAAAATAGATTGAAGGGGGGGTGTGAAGGGGAGGAAAAAGATGGATAACTAGTTAAAGGATAAGTTCACCTTTGGGAACATGTAACCTGTTCCCACTGCCAGAGCTGCCGCCCACCACTCCGCTGCATAGAGTGACAGCTAGAGGGGGCTCTTCTCCCAAACCCCCTCCCATGACACAGAGTGGGGTTTTCCCCCTGCTGTCACATCGCAGCTTAAAAACCCCGCTATTGTGTTGGACTCTTCCCACACAGACACGTCATTCATTCACAGAAATCTGTGAATGAATGAACTACAAGTCCCATCTGCCACCACGGCAGATGGATTTGTAGTGTTAATAGGCTGCAAGTAGTCCATTCACTCTTTCTGAAGCTCTGAAACTGACAGCCCTTGCAGAGGTTTTAGGTTCAGAGGTGTAGGAAGTTTTCAGGAGCCTGATATTGCACCTGTGATTCACTGATTGCCAATGCTCTGCAGGCTTTTGAGAAAAAAAAATAACCATGTATTTTTTCTTGCAAAAGCATATGCATTTTTTTTTTTTTTTTAAAGGTGGACTTATCCTTGAAAGGTACTCCATCACTAAGGCCTAGTTAACACTTGTGGTTGAGTAGAGAAACAAACAGGAAGTCAAACTGTGTTTTTACCACCCCTCTCCCCGACAGTGCTGCAGAAATGGTCTCCCCCAAAGTATTTGGTGGGAAGTAGCACCCGCCGAACATGACCCATTCAAGTGAATGGTGTGGAGCCACAACTGCATGCATTGCACGTAGTTGCATGGCAGGGGTACAGGTTCTTGGGGGTTAAAAAGGACAGTGAGAAAAAGTAATATTCATTAAACAGAAAATGGGAGTGGATGTCCCCTTTAATGTCCTATATACAATGTCTTTAAAGGAAAAGTTCACCTTTAGGAGCATGTTACATCCATATCTAGGGTGTAACATGCTTCTATGTACCAACCGCCAGTGCTCCCCCCTCTGTGACCCCAACCGGGTATGCTCCCCCCACACCTGCTTGAAAATAGCATAGCCGTGCAAGGCTTCACTCCCTCGGCCAGTTTTCTGTAAATGGGTAGACTACAAGTTCCGTCGGTCATTGTGGCTGTCGACTTGTAGTTCTCAATTAACTGCAAGGGCGCTGATAAATGCTCTATTAGTTCATTGATCTTCCTGCTCTCTGGTAACTGTCTACCCATATCATCTAAACAGAGCACTCACTACTCGTATTTCTTTTTTTCATTCTGAATATCTACAACCTACTTTTCCTTCATAGGACCCTCCTTCCTTCGGACAGTTGTGCCAAGTTACTCCGCTCTTCCACTTATGGCAAACATGGCTACCCTAAATCAGATGCATCGAGTTGGCCGACCCAAGAGTCCTCCCCGCAAAATAAATGTTTTAGGTGGCTGTCCTCAGCTGAAGGGTGTTATAGTGAAAATCATGATCCGCAAGCCCAAGAAACCCAACTCTGCAAACCGCAAGTGTGCCCGTGTGCGGCTCACCAATGGCAAAGAAGTGGTGGTTTTTATTCCCCGTGAAGGACATAATCTGCAGGAACACAGCATTGTCCTGGTGGAGGGTGGCCGTACACAGGACCTTCCCGGGGTGAAACTCAAAGTGGTGCGGGGAAAATATGACTGTGCACATGTTAAGAAAAAGTAGTAATGGATGTGGGGTAACCTGTCATTAATTTCGTACCAGTTACTGAGCCAGAGGAGTACACATCATCTGTACAGCAAGATTAAAGGAGCTTTTTTTTTTTATTTTATTTGGGGTCATCCTTTGTCTTTGGCAGTTATTCTCTGTGCTATGGACTCTTGCTCTTGGTGCTGTGGTCTCCCAGATTAAAAATACAATTTAATAAGGGCAGCAAGACACTTGTAATGATTGCAGATGGTGGCCAAAATGGGAAAATAGGGTGCAGATATCTGAACTCTGGAACCATAAGGGAAGCAAGAGGCTGAAGGGCGATTTATCCAACCTGCAGCTATCAAGATCAGTTATGGAGGAAGTGATCCCTCAGTTTTCATGGACTTCAGGATTCAGTCTCTTGTGCATTTCTGTTTTCAAGGAAATTTCTGCTATTAAAATATGTGCATTTTGTAAATGTATTTGATTTTAAAAACACATTTTTCTGGGGGGAGGGAACTCTTGTATACATATAGGGACCATTATGGTGTATTTTGAGTTATTTCCATTTAGGAATTCACTTTCCCTACATTTCCAGGATGGTGCCAAGTTGCCAAAGACTTAGCACTAGCATGTTACAGTATCAGAATATAGGGAATTATACCATTGTTATGAAGTGTTGCTATGGTACTCAAGCCAGTGATGCTGTAGCCAGAACCAATGTCATCAGCTCTGCAAATTGGAAGCAGGATTTTGGGGGAGGCAATTTTTGCTTCTCCCTTTTCTTGCTCCCCGTATATATATGATAGTGGGTACAGAAGTGTTAAATTGTTGAAATAGAATGTCTCACTTGCAACAATAAGGTTTGTACTGTCCTCAGTATCACCTTAGGCATTCTGCTTCCCATGGTTCTAGTTCTCTGGGGTGACACAGGTCTCCGGCACACTACTGCCTAAAAATGCAGCACCTCTTCTTGGGGTCCCCTGCTGGCACTCCTGGCCCCTCCCTCCTGTTGGGTGCCTCCACAGCAAGCAGCTTGCGATGGGGGCAACCACTGCTGTATCCATTCACACATGGAGCCGTGGCCTGGCCCTGCCCCCTCTCTGTTCTGATTGGCTCTTTGGCTGTGATTAACAGCAGTGGGAACCAATGGCTCCCGCTTCTGTCTCAGCCAATGAAAAGAGGGAGTCACGGGATAGCCGAGACTCCAGTGTACACTGCTGGATTGAGAAGGGGCTTAGATGAGTATTCGGGGGGGGGGCAATCCTGCACAGAGAAGGTTTTTTCCATCATGCAAAGAATGCATGAAGGCAAAATAAAACCTTAAGCCTTTAGAACCACTTTAAATGCAGACCTCTGGGAAAAATAAGTGAGCTAATCACAAAAGGAAAAATTGCCATTTTTGGGGGACGTTCCGTACACCAACTACGTACAGAACACCCTGGGTTACCATATTACATAATTTGTTTTTTTGCAGAAAACTGCTGCAGATTGAAGAGGAAAAGTCATTTTTAATAACAAATTGCAACATGGCTTGGGTAGCAATGTATTTTCCTATATTTTTTCCACAAAAATGGTTACCCTCTAACATCAAATCATGTAAACAAGGATGACTAAATAAGTAAAGAGTATAGAAGAGGCCATCAATTCAAAATCCTCTGTTTCTAGCCCCAGATCTAGATATGTCTTTCTGACAACCGCCAAAGGCCTACCACTCCTCTTCATCCCCAGGCCTTGCCCGATTTGACGGCTTGCCACTTCCCTGCCTGCCCTAATACCTCTCAAAGTTTCACTGACAATCTGGAGAGTGTTTAGCAAGTGGCTGATGTCCTATAGACCGCACAAAGACACCAATGGCCACTTTTCATTCAATAGCAATCGTGATCAGTACATACTATGTGACCCACCAGCAGATTTCAGGCAACATAATCATCGCCTCCAAAAAGGGGCCAGATGTAGCCCTTTACCTGTCTTTTCTGGCCTTCGTGGTACTAATCCTCCCATTGACATTAGCAATGGGACATATTTCCTCCCACTGATACCAACGGTGGGGTACTATTCCCACTAGTACCAATAATGGGGCACTATTCCTTTCACTAATGTCAATGACGGGGCACTATTCCTCCCACTGACTCCAATGATGTGGCACTATTCTTCCCACTGACGCCAACGATAGGGTACAAGTCCTCCTATGTACACCAACAATGAAACACTATTCCTCCCACTGACTCCAATGATGGGGTATAATTCTTCCTGATGACATCAACAAAGGGGCAATATTCCTCACACATACACCAATGATGGAGTACGATTCCTCCCATTGGCTTCAACAATGAGCAATATTCCTCCCACATATACCAACAATGAAACACTATTCCTCCCACTGACTCCAATGATGGGGTATAATTCCTCTCGCTGACATCAACAAAGGGACAATATTCCTCACACATACACCAATGATAGGGCACTATTCCTCCCACTGACTACAACGATGGAGTACAATTCCTCCCTCTGACATCAACAAAGGGGCAATATTCCTCACACATACACCAATGATAGGGCACTATTCCTCCCACTGACTACAACGATGGAGTACAATTCCTCCCTCTGACATCAACAAAGGGGCAATATTCCTCACACATACACCAATGATAGGGCACTATTCCTCCCACTGACTACAACCATGGGGTACAATTTCTCCCTCTGACATCAACAAAGGGGCAATATTCCTCACACATACACTAATGATGGGGTATGATTCCTCCCACGTACACCAACAATGAAACACTATTCCACTGACTCCAACAATGGGGTATAATTCTTCCCGCTAACATCAACAAAGGGGCAATATTCCTCACACATACACCAATGATGGGGTACAATTCCTCCCGTTGACATCAACAATGAGCAATATTCCTTCCACATACACCGACATAAGGCAACTATTTCTCTAATGCCAAACATAGGGCATTATTCACTTACACTGACACAGGACATTTTCTACTACCACTGATCATAGTCCAGCCCTTCTACAGTCTGAAGGACTGTAAAATGGCCCTTTGTTTAGAAAGTTTGGAGACCCCTGCTATAAAGGATTACATAACGGGGTGTATTATACCTATTAAAAAAAAAAAAAAATTACAGAGTTAATCGTCTTATAAATCTGCATGCGCACGGTTTGAGTACGAATGGGGCCTAAATAAAATGCTACTAGTCTATTTTTCTCTGTCAAATGTTATTCTTCATTCAGAATGAAGTGAATCAGGAAAGTACCACATTCCGGTTACTAGATTGAGCCAAAGAATACAGTAAATAAGTATTTATTTCCTATGATCATTAGCATAATGCAGTATGTCCCTAATTCACACTATTCTGTATGAAGAAAAATATTTCACTGGAGAGAAAACAGCCTATAGTTTTTTAAGAAGAAAAGAAAGAAAGTAAGGCGTAGTTTCCCCAGTGTGATCACAAACAGAAAAAAAAGAAATAACTTACAAATAATTTAATTCTCCTCCACTCTATCAAGAAAAAAAAACACATTTTTTTTGGATGGAGGTAAGCTTTAAAGAGACCCTGTCCTCAACTTAAAAACTAAAGATAAAAAAAAGAAAATAAGTAATTTGAAATGCTTACTAGTAGTAATTATATCCTTTCCACAAAATATTCTTCCATTACCTGTGAGAGCCAGGAAATAGAGGATAAATACATTTAGGATAACACCACACCCCCTCACCCACGTGGAGGGGCAGGTCTAGAGGGAGAGCTACATTGTGGAGGTCCTTGGGCTCTTTTATTTATTTATTTTTTATTCCTCCCTGGTATGGTTGGTTATTCCTGTTCTCTTTCAAAGAATAGATAACATTTTCCTAATTGCTTTTAAAGTATTTTCTCTGTTCTTTTCTTTTTGAAAGGAAAAAAAAAAATCGCAGTCTACCTCTAAATCAGGGGAGGAGGCCAAGGTTAGGAAAAAACATGTCATTTGTAGTTCTAAGATGCAGGAACCTTATTGTAAACCAATATGTTACAAATGTAAGATCAGAATAGCCACAGAAGAGTCAGACACCTGAATGATCAGTCTCGGCGGGGAAGAAAGGAAGGAAGAGGTTATCTTTAGCAGGAAATGGAGGAGAAAGCTAGTGCAAAATTTGCAGAAGAATAAAAAAAACGCAAATAAAACAACAAAAGAGCTTAAAGTGGAACTTTAGTTATAAAATTAAGTCCTGCTAGATCACTTCACGCTGGCCCCTGTTGCAGGTACTGTATAGCTATAGATGTAAAACATTACATATAAGTGCCTGTACTGTTTAAAATTCATTAATGCACTGTCTCACCCTGTTCTGCACATGCTCAGTTGCTCTCTATTTTTTTGGAACTGTGCAGAAAATGTGATCTGCTGACAGCCTAAAGATTTAGTGCTCAGGGACTCTGGGCTTCATCAAAATGGCAGCCTCCAGAAAGAAGAAAGAGGAACAATGCTGGAGGCAATTTACAGCACACACTAAATTTTAGTAGCATAATTATTAATAGGGAGTATTATTATTATACAGTATTTATATAGCGCCAAAAGGTTTACTCAGCACTGTACATTATAGTGGGGGACAGAACATGAGACAATACAGTAACAAAATAATACACCAGGGGTACGAGGGCCCTGCTCTTTCGAGCTTACAATCTAGGAGGGAGGGGATAGTGGTACAGGAGGAAGTGGCTGTGGGGGATGGAGTGATAGGAGGAGTGGAGGAGATCGGCTGTTAGGTGAGGGTGGGGTAGGCTTCCCTGAAGAGATGGGTTTTCAGGGTGCGCCTGAAGGTGAGGAGGGTAGGTGACAGTCTGATGGATTGGGGTAGAGAGTTCCAGAGGATGGGGGAAGTCCTGGAGAAGTCCTGCAGTCAGGCAAGGGAGGAGGAGACCAGGGAGCTAGAATGTAGGAGGATATATTCCTTGCTAAAAAAACAATATTTTTTCAATCTAGTTGTTTTACGTAAAGTTCCAATTTAACCAGTTCAAGTCTGGACACTTTCACCCCCTTCCAGTCCAGGCCAATTTTCAGCTGTCACTGCTATCACACTTTTTTTTTTTAAACTTTGTATTCATTTCTGCAAAGGTTCAAAAAACAGCACCTGGAAGCTCAGCACACACAAGTGTAGCTGTCCAGAGCAAAAGAAAATTACAAAACTATAACCAGCCTTAAAAGGTGTGAGTGTGTGTTACAATTCAGAATAAACAAAGAAGCTCTACCCCATTCCCAACCCAGTCACATCAAAATAAAGAGATTAGGTGGTATCCTCCAGCCATCTGGCCCATATTTTGTCAAACTTCCAAGGACAACCTCTATAAGTGGTTTTGTAAAGTGGCAATTGAGAGTTCGCCAGCTGTTTCCAGTATCCAAGTATGGGAGCCATAGGTCTCTTCAATGGAGTGTAGGTGCCTTCCTGGCATAAAACAGCCGTAGTCCCAACAGTGTCTTATCTGCGTTGGTGGTCACAAAGTTGTCAACGAGGCCAAGCAGGCAGATTCTTAGAGACGGGATGATGAGGACCTGCACAAGTTTACTGATGGTGCTGACCACAGATTCCTAGAACAACTGGATCGCTGGGCAGTAATGTCACACTGTGAGCGACACACATGCAACATTGTACCCATATGAAATTTTATTTTATTTTTTTAGACAGCTTTCTTTTGGTTGTATTTGATCACCTCTGCGGTTTTTATTTTTTGCTATATAAATAAAACAATATAGAAAATGTAAAAAAAAAATGTTTTGCTTAGTTTTTGCTATAAAATTTAGCAAATAATCTTTCTTCATAAATTTGGACCGAAGATGTATTTTGCCACATTTTTGTGGAAAAAATAACCCAAAACTGTGTATATTTTGTTTCAGTGAAAACTATACAAACTATGGTATATATATCTGAAAATTGATCAGTTGAGACCCTAAAATGCTGGTATGATGTAAGGCAGTGATCATGATGCTGGTATGGGGTATGGTGATGATCAGGACGCTGGTATGTCGTATGGCAATGATCAGGGCACTGGTATGGCATATGGCAGTAATCAGGATGCTGGTATGGGGCATGGCGGTGACCAGGGCACTAGTATGGTGTATGGCGGTAATCAGGGCGCTGGTATGGTGTATGGTGGTAATCAGGGTGCTGGTATGGCAAATGGCAGAGATCGTGATGCTGGTATGGTGTATGGCGGTGACCAGGGCACTGGTATGGTGTATGACGGTAATCAGGGCGCTGGTATGGTGTATGGTGATAATCAGGGTGCTGGTATGGTATATGGCAGAGATCATGATGCTGGTATGGCGGTGATCAGGACACTGGTATGGTGGTGTTTTTGTGAGCACTGGGACAGGTGCTGGCTACATTGTTTATTAGGACTTCCCCAAGGCAATGATCAGGGACATTAGGGTGGCTGACACTGCAGTATATGTGTGTATAAGCAGCCTGCCAGGCTGATGTACAGTCACAGGCTGCAGCATCACTTCTCTGTGGTCTTACAGTGAGAGCAAAGAGAACCAATGCTTACTTTTAGTCTCTATTGCTTACTATGTGATTGCTGTAATTGGGACACAACAATCACATAGCGGTAATGCGATCCGCTGTGTCCAGATGACACTCGGATCACCGGGCTCCTGGGTGTGTGCCCTGTAAGCCATGCAAGAGGCGCGGGCTGATGTACAGGTATGTTTTTCCGCATCAGCACAGCTTCCAATCTTCTGTTTATAGGCAATGGGAGGTCGGAAAGCGGTTAAAGCTTGCTTAATCCCTTGACACTGACCACACGCAAATTAGTGGCATCACAGAACTGGGCTTTTTTCCGTGGGGCGCTAATTTGCATACCTGATTTCTGCTGGGAGCGCGCTACACGGGGCACTCCCAGCACAAAGACCAGGGTCACCTGATTGCTGTGATAGCCTCTGATTGGCTATCGCAGTGACCAGTCACTATGAATCCCGCCCCCCTTGTTTTCTCTCTCTGAATGGAGGAGAGAAATACAATGTATCTTTCTGTCCTTTCAGGGAGTAAAAAAAAACAAGTGTGTGTAAAAAATAATTGAAATAAATTAATAATTAAAAAATAAACAAAAATACCTACATCAATGTTTGATCTAGGTCTGTGCCAGGGTTAGTTTTTTGGCCAAGCTCAGGGTCAGTTTCTTGTTCTTTTGTTTGGATCAGGTTTTTTTTTTTAAATTAGTATCAGTGTCAGTTAGTGGCAGAATAAAAAAAAAAAAAAAAAGCAAATTGTGCACTATTGTTTGTGGACTGTACTACGGGTACAAACAACAACAAACAAACGTGGTATAGTTGCGATCGCCAGGAGCAGGAGAACTTTTTTTGAGTTGTGCTTTGGTGGTAGGTCATGGTAGTAGCAAGAAATATACAGCTAAATTTTAAAAAAGGTTTTTTTTTTTTTTTTTTACTATTTTGGGCCAGTTTTTCTATGGTAATGAAAAAAAAATCAGGAGATATCCATTACCATTTAGCACCAAATGAAAGCCCAATTTATTCTGAAAAAAAAAAACAAGGTAAAATCCACCTGTATGCACAAAGTAGTTGTGGTGATATGTACGGTTTTGCTAACACAGGTCAAAGTTGCAAAATTGTGCTTAGGCATTAAGATTTGTTTTACCTTTAGGCACGAAGGGGTTAAACCCCCCAAAATGAGAATTTTCTGCAGCACAGGACACAGGCTGAGGCTTTAAAGACCCGGGTTATGGGCTTGTACCTTTGAGTGGTGTTTAGTGGTCGTTTTTGTTTGCTACTATATTCTGAGGTGGTGTGGTATTACCCATTTATTATTTCCTGACCCTCATAGGGGGGCGGGTCCTAAGTGAGCTGTCATGGTGACAAAGTGGAAAGGGACTGATAAGAGAAATTTGTGTTTTTATTCATTTGCAATGTCCCTCTGAACTTGCTAGAAAACTTGGCTAATACTCTAGCACAGCCATCTCCGTCCTTGCAAGTCACAGCCCTCTCTTCTTCCGGGAGTGTCAAATTACTCTCCGTGCTGCCCCAGCTTCTCCTTTCACCTCTTTACATACCCTTTCATTTACCTCCCAGGGGAGGAGTAAAAGGGAATACTATAGCGTGTCAATTGAGTCACACTAAAGATGACAGTGCCCAGTAACATGCTTTTGCATGTCTACACAAAGAAAGATTTTCTAAGTAAATAACATGCTTAAAATAAGGTAAAGTGCTTGTAAAGGCTCAAGGTTTTTTACCTTCATGTATTCTATGCATTAAGGTAAAAAAACCTTCTGTGTGTAGCAACCCCCCTCAATTCTTATCTGAGCCCCCAATCCAGCGACGTTCACAACAGCCTCTGCTGTCTGGGGACTCTTCCTCCTCATTGGCTGAGACAGCAGTGGGAGCCCATTGGCCCTCGTTGCTGTCAATCACAGCCAGTGAGCCAATGAAGAGAGAGCAGGGGGGGCAGCCACGGCTCTATGTCTCTTATGGACGCATAGAGCAGTGGCTCAAGAAAAAGCACGCAGCGGCGCCCCCAGGGCGAGCGGCTTTCCCTGGGAGCTCTGCTCGAGGGAGAGGAGCCAGAGGAAGAAGATCTGGGCTGCTCTGTGCAAAACCACTGCACAGAGCAGGTAAATATAAACAGAAAAAAAAAAAAACAACAAGACTTTACTGTCACTTTAAATAAACAATCACATGGAAAGATTTTTGTTGAAATAAATGGTTTGGTGACAGGGTCTTTACATGTGTTACGCTCCTTTGATAGATTCTGCATAAGGTACAATAAAGACATCAGTTGAAAATCTACAAACATTTATTGGTGATGTGACAGAAGCAGTTGGATGAATTTTGCAGTGTTTAGAGATATACTGTCAGCCCAGATTCAGCCAAATGCAGCAAAGTTGATTGGACGGCGCTTCACAGTACAGATGGACAATGATGCAAAACACACTGCAAAAGCAACCCAGGAGCTTTTGAAGGAAAAGAAGTGGAATATTCTGCAAAGGTCAAGTTAATCACCTGATCTCAACCCAAATGAGCATGCATTTCACTTGCTGAAGGCAAAACTAAAGGCAGAAAGACCCACAAAGAATAAATTAAGACAGTTGCAGTTAGAGCCTGGCAAAGCATCAGAAAGGATGAAACCCAGTCTTTGGTAATGTCCATGGGTTCCAGACTTCAGGCAGTCATTGCCAGTAAAGGATTCTCAACAAAATATTAAAACTTAACATTTTATTTATGATTATATTCATTTGTCCAATTACATTTGAGCCCCTGAAAATGGAGGGACTGTGTATAAAAATGATTGCAGTTCCTACAATTTGTACTTGATATTTATGTTCAACCCTTGAATTAAAGCTGAAAGTCTGCACTGCAAACTCATTTGGATTGTTTCGCTTTAATTTATTCTGGTGGCATGCAGAGCCAAAAGTTTGTAAATTGTGCCTGTGTCCAAGTATATATGGACCTAACTGTATATATTTTTTCCCCTCTTTTCCTTTGTACGTGTACAACTACTATTTTAATCACTATATGAAATTCCACCTCCTGATAGTTTAAATTCTCCATTTAATTCGTGTTACACCAGAAATTAGTGATCAGAAAGTAAGAACAATATCATCTCTCCAAGGCATTATGTAGTTTTCACAAGGCCCATTTTGTTATAGTGAAGTATGATTTTTTTTTTTCCCCCAGAACAAGTTAATTACTTAAATTTCCAATTAAACTCAAAATAGTCATGTCTTATCTGAGAGCGACACCAAGTGGGCAAGAGAGGTAATGCATAAGCAAACACAGGTTTGATGAATCAATAAATTCACCAGTAGGAATAAGGTAACACCTTCTGGACCCCCCCTGGCGTGTTTTATAACTATATTGTTGTCATAGTATAAAAACAGAAGTCAAGTACACTGAGGGATGATCTCAAAACACACAAACCATCTCATCAGAAGACACCATCAAGGGGAGGATACAGCCATCACCTGACACTGTACTAAATCTAAGACACACCTCCAGCCTATTTAGATGCCATTTTGAGGAAGTTCAACTCCACCCATTATTTGGGAGCTTTCTTTGGTTCTGGCCATCAGCTATCTAAAAGGTTACCCGATACTTGGAGGGTAATTGTAATATATCTTCTATCAGTTTTGCTTGCTTACAAGTCAGTTGTATTATTTTTATACATTTTTATCTTTGGAGGTACTTTAACTAAATTAATTGTTCAGGCGTTCCTTGCATAACACTTGTGATGGCACATTCTTCCAAGGTGATAATCGCCTCCTGGGTATTCCAACATCAGGCGTCTGTTTGCAAGGCGGTGACCTGGTCATCTGTGCATACTCTTACAAAGTTCTACAAAGTTGATGTTTTGGCATCCTCGGATGCCAGTTCTGACAGGCTGTTGTGTGGTTTTTATGGGCCCCTTTGGGGCAGTTCTGGGGTTGGTGCGTTTGCCTGGTTGCTTCTTTTGGTGGTTTGCTCACCCACATTTTGGCATGGCTTTGGGACATCCCTATCTGTTATAGATATCAAGAGAAGAGAAGCTGTGTTCATCAATGAAAAGAGAAAACAAGATTTTTGCACTCAACGTAAAATTACTTTTTCTGAGTTATTATTATTATACAGGATTTATATAGCGCCAACAGTTTGCTCAGCGCTGTACATTATAATATTATAATGGGAGACAGTACACGATACAGTAACAATACGAATCAATACACGAGGGGTTCAAGGGCCCTGCTCCTTGGAGCTTACAATCTAGGAGGGAGGGGATAGTGGTACAGGAGGAAATAGCTGTGGGGGATGGAGTGGTAGGAAGAGTGGAGGAGTTCAGTAATTAGCTGAGGGTGGGGTAGGCTTCCCTGAAGATAGGTTTTCAGAGTGCTCCATTTCAGAGTTAATTGCCGAACACAGTACCCACCCTTATCTTGAAATATTTACTTCTGACACTGATTTGTAATGAACTGGTGACTAGTGATGGGCCAAACACCCCCCTGTTCGGTTCGCGGTCGAACATTTGAACCTACAGAATGTTCGACCCCGAACAAATTACTGAGTGTTATTTTACCGCATCAGAGTATGTGGTAAGATACCGCCCAATTACTAAACTACTGAATGCGTTATATTAAGTTATGCGGTATTTTAGTAGTGAAACATTAATTATGGTTTCAGCTGTCAGTGGGGTTCCCTGCTGACAGCTTAAAAGTAAAAAGGAATTGTCGGCATTGCCCGGCGATAAAAAAAACAAAATTACATGGGGTCCCCTCTCCCATCCATATAAAGCCCTTTGGATCTGGTATGGATTTTGAGGGAAACCCCCACAACAAAAATTAAAAAAAAAATGGCCTGGGGATCCCCCCAAAATCCATACCAGGCCCCTATCTGAGAATGCAGACCAGCAGGTCAGGAAAGGGGGAAGGGGGGGGGGGGGGGGGGGGGGGGGGGGACGAGCAAGATTTTTTACACTTCCCACAAAATATTTCAGTGATAAACCCTTTAAAGTAAAACTAACAACAAAACGTTTTTTCCATTTTAGATAGCGTAAGGGAGGGTTATATCAAGAGCAATAAAACCTAACATCTGTTCTATCCCCTCTCCACTCAACCTCATACAGTTTGGCCGACTTCTTCCAGCCTGGATCTTCTGATCTCTCGAGTATCATTGTCAGGTTCAGTTGGGTAGTTAGGAGGAGTTCCCAATGGCATTTCAATGGAAGCTGAGGTGAACTCATTCTTCAGAGCGACACATCAGTATTCAGATCACAATGACAACTTTGACTTGAGGTTGCTCACATGGGCTTTTTTATGTGATAACATTTCAGAAAGGACTTTAAAGTATTACTCAACCCAGGACCCTGCATTCACTATATCTCTCACAGAACATGGAAATGCAATTATTTTAATTATTTATTTTAATACAAACTGCTAAATACATTTTCTCATCAGCAGTTAGAGGAGTCTTGTGATTCAGCAGAGCACTGGATAAAACTTGTAGGCATTTTCTTTCTGCTCTAGGAGGATGTGAAACCTTTGACCCTCTGCCTGGACAGTGCTGATTGGCCCTGTGCTAATCACATGCACCCTCCCATGAAAATAAAACCCTCTCTAGCAATACACACCAAACTGAGCATGTGCATGTGACCATGGGTTCACTCTGTATCAGGTGGTCATTTCAACAAGAGGAGGGGCAGAGAAGACAGGATCAAACAGCCTTTTTACACAATGCAGAGGATTAACCCCTTAAGTTCCACAGTGTATAACAACCATGCTTTACTGCATATACAGAATGATTTTACTGTTGTGGGTTTAGTAACACTTTAACTAAAAGAAACCAGGAGCACACTTGATTTTTGTATAGAAAAATTTAAATTTTTTAATTTACCACAAAATATTTAGGTAATAAACCCTTTAACATTTACTACAAAGCTACTGTATAACTACAACAGTATTTACACCTTGAAAGGGTGACCCAGACAACACCACATTTTATTTTAGGAGCCTTATTGCTGCTACAAGAAAGAAAAAAAAAAAACACATATGGCTCAAGGTGTATGTCTGGTCAGGAGAGGACGGGGAGGGTTGGCTATTGATCACAGCCATGGTTTACTAAGGTGATCACTGTGATTGGTTCACAGCGATAACAAGGCACAGAGCCACTCTGATTGGCTCTTTAGATTTTACCTCTTGCTCTGTCTAGTGACTGTACAATCACAGGCATTGCAAGCACACACATGCACAGTGCAACTAACAACCTTTAAAAACAACTGGTGCTGTCCTGAGGCAGTTAATTAGTATGTGAAAACCAAACCCAACCCAAACTTTTTATTGAGAATAAAAGCAGATGACTAAAACTGAAGCAAGATTATAATTTCTCAAACTATCAACAGGAAAAAGTCATATTAGTTAGCAATGTGAAAAAGCGCATTGTTTTCCCCCCCCTTTTTTTTTTTTAAAAGCGCATTCAAACAGCGTTTTTAAACAACGTTCAAAAACAAATCACCTGTCATGGATTATTGATGGAAATATTAAATACTCATCAATATTCCCTATATGTGAACTGTGACCAGCCAATTATACTGGTAGCTTGTCGTGGATATCTCTGTATTTATAAAAGTGACATTTCTGCTCATCCCTTTTCTTTTCTTTTTTCTTTTTCCTTTTAATTTAAACATTTTCAAACATACAAAATAGAAAATTAGCAAAACTAGCAAAATAAAAGATCAATGGGAGTGCTTATTATTAAACTCCCCTCCCCCCCTGTCCCTAAAAGTGACTTTTCTCATGGGGAGCAGGTACCTTCTACCTCAATTTTCAGTCAGAATGACGTGCATTAGGAACGCCCCCTGTCCACATTCCCCAACTGCAGCCTCCTGGGATACATGTGGCTGTGGGAAGACAGCGCTGGACCCAGTAGTGTATTTAGATTTTGTGCTGCCTTAGGTAACACAAAAATTTTGCGCCCCTCCCAATGAGAGTTCAATAAGTGTGTGTATGTATACATGATTCTCTCTCCCTTTCTTTCTGTCCTCTTTCTCCCCCCCCCCCCCCCCCTCTTCCACTTTCTGTCTGTCTCCCTCCCTCTCTCTCTTTATCCCTTTCCCCCCTTCTTCCCTCTTTTTCTCTCTCTTCCCCCCCTCTTCCCTCTTTTTCTCTCCCCCCCCCCCCTTCCCTCTCTTTATCCCCCTCTCTTCCTTTTCTCTTTCTCTCCCCCCACCTCTCCCTCAGATCGTATGGGACCACACACACACACCCCTCTCCAAGGGCGGCTGATCTCCGTGCAGCAGGAAGGGGGGGGGGGGGAGGTGTGTGCAGTCCCATACGATCTGTCAGTGGTAAGTATCAGTGTAATCTGCTAGATGGATGACAGGAGGGAGAGCCCACAGAAGGCTACACAGCTCACCTCCTCCGTGCTCTTTCATCGCTTCTCTCCCTGCTCCAGGCTGTCCCCCTGGTCCTGGCTAATCCGCTGCTGGAGGGAGTGGTGCACGATCGTCGCTCTGCAACTGCCCTCCCCCACATCGATCTTCCTGCTGTGCTCAAATGGCCCCTTCTTCGGGGAGAGGGGGGGGCAGTGCCGCCCGCCTAAAAATTGCCGCCCTAGGCAAACGCCTTGTTGGCCTCGCGGTGAATATGCCCCTGGCTGGACCCCAGGCACTGGTAAGTACCTGATTGGTAAAAGTCAGCACAAAAAAAGAAAAAAAAGTGAAGTTCTTCTATAAGGAAACATTTACTTAAAGGGTAAGAAAAACTGAAAAGAAAGTGAGCTCCTAATAGCCTTACCACCCATTCAGACCCTGCTACACATAGCAACTGTAATGCCATCTGCTACCGGGGCATCGCACCATACACCACAATACACAGCCCCGGAGTAAATATCCATTGGAATGCTCGCAATGGCACGTGCTCATTGCTCAGCACAACCGTGCTAATGAGAAGTGCTGGTTTCATCTGGTACGCCTTACTGGAAGAAGGAGCCTCATATGCACTTCTCATTGGTCAGCAGTCATGATCAATGATCGCCTACCATTGCAAGCATTATGATGGATACTCAACTCCAGACTGGGTATTGCAGCGTACTGTGTATGGACCACTACACCTGCAGAGAGGCGCTATGTGCAATGGTGGCCAGGATATTTGAAGTTAACTCACCTTTTCAAATATTAAATTTCCTACACCTGATCACATCACTACTTTCATATGACTTTTTATATGATAATATAATGGTTGTGTAGCTCATGATAGGTTTTTATTCAATATAGAATACACTTTTAGTCTGTTTTGAGTCTTGCTATAGGGTTTGGGTTGGTTTTATTTTTTATCTGGTATCAGGGAGGACTTTTTTTTTTTTTTTTTTTTTTAGAAAAATGGGTCCTGGTAAGGAGGGGGAGGGGAATTATATATATATATATAATCTCAGAGCTTCCTTAGCAATGACACGCAGCAAGTAAAAGTTACTATAAATTTTTTAAAGTGACCTGGGGCTGAGTACCGCAAAGTGCAGCAACCCACAGCAGCCAATGAGAATTATTTTTACTGAACTGACATTATTAAGGTAAAGCCCTATTGCTCCCTTTATATGTACTCTGCACACCATCGCTTCTCTGCTCCACCACAGATGGAGGGCCATAGGTAATGTTTGTCTGAAGGCAGTATGAGTGGCATGATTATGAGCAGCATGGCTCAATGTTATCACACTTTATTGTGATCGATGAGTTGGTGATTCTGGCGCCGTACCGTCCCTTCCAGAACTGCGAATCCTTTCCTTTGTGCATAAACCTCACATAGCGTACCCCGGGTCCATACCCACGAAACTCATGAGAAACCTGTAATAAGAGACAGTATTGTGTCAAAGCTTGTATGAACAAGTGTATGTCTATAGCAAACGTGTCTGAGCCAAGTCATTGTTTTGTGTGCTACCATCAGAAAGTCAGAATTACATTTCCTTGACTTGTCCTGTGGTCTAGGCCATGCATGAATAGCGATTTGCAACCTTTGTATCATTTGGCATAGAGACCCTGACACCAAAGCCCTGAGACTACTTCTGCGTGCCACCAACTTGGACATGTTGTCAGCAGCTCAAGTAACCCTCTATAGCATTCACCATCACTTCTCCCCAAGCAGCTACATAAAAATAATGTGGGAAGGTGAGGATCAGTGGAGCTGGGTCAGCACAGACAGTAATTAGACACTCCCAGAAAAGGAAAAGGCTATAACATACAGGCAGGGAGGGGACTGTACTAGGGAATGGACTCTCCTGGAGTAATCACATTTTCCAGCACGTGCAAAAGAACAGGTAAAAAAAAAAAAAAAGAAATCAATCATTCATGGAAAGAAAAAAACACAGCAAGTTAGCATTTAAAATAATTGAATTTTCTGTACTTTTACATACAGTTGTTAACCTTGGTGTCTTTAAATTGGATTTTAACTACTTTCCTACAGCCATATTGTAAAGAAAAAAAAAAAAAGCCAGCAAGGAAACAGACATCTATTTCTGGAGAGATGTCTATAAAGCCCATGTGTGCCTGCCTTGTTGGTTAATGGCAGTGAACAGGTACAGTGTCCTTGTGAACACGATTTATAATGTCCAATGAAATCAATGATGGGGCACAATTCCTTCCAGTGACACAAATGATAGGGTCCAATTACATCAATGATGGGGCAGAATTCCCCTCACTGACACCAAACAATGGGGCATTATTTTTTTTGTATTGATGTTGGGACCTTTTCTACTCCCACTGGCTGCAGTTCGGCACTCGTAAAGTCTGAAGGACAGTAAGCTGGCCCTTTGTTTAGAAAGTTTGGAGACCCCTGATCTATACATTAATATAGCTGTTGTACCATTGCCAATCTCCATATTTAACTACTTCAATACCAGCATACTTTTTTCTCTTCCAAAAAATTTGTGGCAACAAAATTAGACTACCCATTTCCCCAAAGAGGTCCTTTTCGGGCTGTCCGTTTTGTTTTTTTTCTCTCAAAGTTTTTGGCCTTTTTGTTTTCCTATATATAGTAACCGAAAACCTCAGTGTCAAACGTTTAATTATATTGCAGCTCTTATATTACACCAGTTCTTAGATGTGATGGCTGCATTTGTGTGCTTTTTTTAGGCTTTCTTTCTTCAATTTTCATTTGGTGATCTGGCAAACAAGCCTGTTGTTTTTCAAAAAGAAAACTTTGCTGCAGTTACAGGAATAAGACAGACCATTTAAACACTTACAGGGGTGCTTAAAGTGATTAGCTTTTATTTATGCAAAACCTTTATCCCAAAAGGAAAAATACTGTTTGCTGTAACTGATTATAGAGTTCAGCTTCAATTTGTTAGTGTATTTAAAATGTGCTAGTACGTCTAACACTCCCCTCCCTCCAGACTGACAATGCTGCTGTCCAAAATACCCCCCGCGTTCCATCCAGAATGGAGGCACTCTAACACAGGAGGTGAGTTACTGGCCACATCACCAGATGAAAAGAGATAAAAAAAAGGCTATAAAGAGAAAACGAATACAGCCACTACATTTAAGGACTGGAATGCTGCAATATATTACATTTTTGGTTTTGGGTGTAATATTGCTCAAATTAAAAAAACAAACAAAAAAAAAAAACAAATATGTTATACTTATCTGATCTGTGCAATTGGTATTGCATAGAGCAGCCCAGAACCACCTCTTGTGGGGTCCACCGCCAGCACTCTTGGCTTCTCCTCTTCTCTGTGTGCCACCTTACGAAGCTGCTTCCTATGGTGGCACACGTGCAGGCTTGCAAGTGAGATGGGGGCTGTGTGCGTCCATTGACACACACAGCCTGGGTTAGGCCCATCCCCTGCTCACATGATTTGATTGACAGCAGCAGGAGCCAATGGCTTGTGCTTGCTGTCTCGGAGTCTGCAAGGAGAGAGAGAGAGACCAGCACTGCTGCAGACTGGCACAAAGCTGGATTGAGATGGGACTCAGGCAAGTGTAAAGGGAGCTGAGGGGGTGATGCAACTGTTAGGACATTTATTTACTGTAATGCAAGCAATGAACACTTTAAATACCAGAAAATCTAGGCTCTCACTAAAAAAGATAAACAAGTTAATTCTGGTACAGCGTCTCATGACCGAATTGTCAGTCAAAGTATCACAGCACTTAAAAATGAAAAAATTGCCTGGTAATAAAGGACTACTACAAGCCGGTTCTCAAGCAGTTAAGGTATTTTTTTTTCTGATTGCAAACTTTACCCCTAATCATTGTATCACGTTACATATTGCTTTGCAAACTAGAATTCTTGATACAGCAGTCACTAAATTTAAAGCAGAACTCCGGGCAAATTTTTCTTGCCAATGCAGTGGAGCTGTGCCTGCTCTGCATGGGTTACCTGCTCGCTTGGTTCTAGGGAAGAGGACAACGGAGATATAATTACCTGAAGCTCCCAAACAACACCGGTCCCCCGTCAGCTCCTGCCCCCTCCCCCCCACTCGATCCAGTGATCGTTTTCCGGATGATCAGCAGGTCAGGTGAGCTTTGTCCTTACCCCTAGAAAAAACGAGCAGCTGATCCATGCAGTGGAGTTCTGCTTCAAGTTCTGGTCTGGGTAGCCCGTGGTTCTTATGGGCTGTACTGGTGGCACCACAATTTTCGGCCACTGCAATTTAGTAGAGCACACTGGAGTTGGAGCCCTCCAGTGCCATCAGTGTCTCTGTACGAAGAACAAAAACAAAAGCGCACCAACCTTGCACATTACCTCAGTAAGTAAAGAGTGAATTTATTGAATTGAGATATATACTCACAAAAGTAGCAATAATAAAAGCATATAAAATCCAACATCAGCATATAACATTTTGTGATTATATGCTTTTATTATTGATTATTTTATTATTGAATTGAGTATATATCTCAGTTCAATAAATTCACCCTTTACTTACTGAGGTAATGCGCAAGGTTGGTGCGCTTTTGTTTTTGTTCTTTGTTACAGTTTCTATTGGGCTTGTGTTTAAGCTGCACAACCTTTGACCGGCTATTGCATGAACGTTCATATATTGTTCTACCCACTGAATTCTGATCTGGATCTATGAGAGCAGGAGGTTTTGTATTTGTTTCCACCCATCAGTGTCTCTGTCCCATCCACAGAGCTCAGCCAACAGCATTGTAAATGCCTGTGTCATGACTATTGAGTGTTCCACAAGGCCATTCTCCTTCCAGGGTCATGTGACCAAATCACATTTTACCATCTCAAAATCCCCTCCTTCCTTTTATTTAAAAAAAAAAGATGCGCCACCATGAGGTCATGTAATTTCAAAATGTTTGGAGTATATTTCCATACACAGACCTGGATGTACTTTTCGTCATTCCACTGTGGAATAGGATCGGGTCTTATGGCAAACTCTTGGAGCACAGCTAGCTTATCAACAGCCAGCAGTTGGACCTTTAGACTATACACACAGCCGCAGTCATGTCGCCCAGCATACCTATAGGAAAAGCATTCCAAAAAAGAAAAAAAAAAGTACTTGTAAGGGAAATGCAAGCCAAACTGCTAAACATAGTTAAAGACCGACTCATCACAGAAATAGATCAGCCTTCCTTATCTAGGGTTCCTCCAGGGATTAGTAGGATTCCTTGAGCAATCAGCAATTCCTGCCTCTTAGATAAGTAACCTTAGAAAAAGGGTCTGTAGGAGGGGGATTCTTCCCAATGACCACTGTAAGGCCTATGAAATGTTTTGGCCTTGGACCCTTTGTTTCTTAGGTAATTTTTACAATAATGCATCGTTGCCCAGATGCCAGGAGCATGAGAAGTGACTGATGTCATTTCTCTAGACTAAAGGAACAGAGTCACAAGATATTAGACAGCTTAAAGCAGATAAGAAGTGTTTGTGGGATTAAACGTGTTTATGACATCTAGAAATGTTACATTAGAAGATAAGAACGTGTTTGTGCAATTAAAAGATGTCTACTTGCTTGAGAAGTTAGAAATCTTTAAGTTTAGGGTAGATAAGACGCTGATTTGAAGCATAAGTGTGATATTCTTAGATACTGCAGTGGGCTGGGCGTGACTTTTATCGTCACGGAACCTGCTAGCTTGTCCTAGAGTGGGTGTGGCACCCACCCACTTTGGGAAAGCTGCCAGAAAAAGGGTTTAAAAGCGGGGAGCTCAAGCGTAATCGATTTGGTGGAGCAGCCTTCTAGCAGATGAGGACGCTCTGACGCTGGGACTCTTGCCAAGGCTATATGGGCTCATCGATTGGTCGCGTTTACAGCTTCCCCACGACCCCCTGTGAATTATGGTTTCGATGGGGTCTGTTCTTTCCCGTTTTCCCATAGCTTTGGTAATACATTAATTCTATGCTGTGAAGCTGTCAAAAGATGTGTATTTCATTAATAATGCTCACATTATTATTGTTGTGTGTTATTATGCAGATTGCGATGACTATAAAATATATCCTCCTGTGTGTTGTATGATAATAAAAGTGGAGGTTTTGATAGTGCAAGAAATGTTCCTGTGTGTGTGACTACCTGTGTATTATGTGTACATGACTTGCTTTTAGTTATTGCATCCAGCATTGTATTACAACCACAAATGTAGTAGTGTATACAGAGAGTAGTACAAGCGCCTAAGTTTAAAAGCAACAAGCTGCTATGCACAGAAAAGGTACCAATGACCCTAGGAGAAGGCAATGTATATATAAAGTGCAGCGCTCGATAATATATTATCGAGCGCTGCACTTTATATATACAAATGTTGTAGTATTCTTCCAAGTGGCCATCATGCTAATGTAGCTTAAGATATTGTAATTATTAGCAGAGGATCCCTGTGATCAGAAAGTTATTTCAAGGGTTCCATCATGTTAAAAAGTTTAAAAAAGGCTGGAATAGCTATTCAGTCAGACTGTCAGGAGTCTTGCCAGGTCTTGAACTCTGGTCACTACAGACTGGAGAATTACAGGTCTGTTCTGTCACTCCAGTTTTTGCTGTTACCATTGTAATTGTTATAATTCTGCATAACTGCATTGCAGTTTCAGTGAATCTCATCTGCATCTGATCATGTGGCCAATCAGCGTGATTGGCCGGCTATTCAAGTCCATCCGGTTTCCTTGCCAGAATATTGTGCACTCACATAATCCTGCAGCTACTCTGTGATCCCTCCATTGCTGCTTGTTACCGACCTTGGCTCGTGACCCAAACGCTGATTCTCTGCTACCTGTACTGTCCCCAGATTGTGACTTTGCAGCGAGAACTGACCCTGGCACCGACTTTGTCTTGTAATCTGGACAGCTTGATTCCTCTTTCTCCAAGAACTTAAGAGGTACATTCCTAACACAGTCATTGTACAATCAATGTCGCTTTTCACATTCTCACCTGGAGATGCTGAGAGAGAACATGATTTTAGTGCTATTGCTGAACACTGGGGATGGATTACTCCACAGTGACAGCAGCGACAGGGGTTAGTGAGGGTTTTTTTTACAGCTCATTTAGGGATTGTTCATACGTATGTTCATTATGAAGAACAAAGCAATGATCATTAACATGCCTATATAATTTATGTATTTTTGATGCGTTTTTGAAAAAGCATCAAGAAGGCTTGCGAAATAGCCATGAAAGTGTTTTTCCAGGGCAAGGGGTGTTTAAGGGGGGGGTGATGTAGATGAAATGGTCTGCTTTGAGGCGTGGTTAGGTTGTGGTGTGATAGTAGACATTTTTGTGGATTCTCTGCAAGATGGATTTGTATACTTCAATCTTTGTGACACTTAGAAAAGTTGAGCTGGACCAAGCAGACACAAAAAGCATTGCCAATAATGCTCAATGCTTCAGCTCCTGGCTGGCTTGATGGTTTTCCCTACACAGAAGCAAATGGTGTTACCACACAGCTCTCTGTACAAACAGGAAGAGGCTGGAGCTCCTCTGTCCTAGACCTCTATTGTTTCCCAGGGCATTCTAGGATACATTTATAAGTGCTTCACTAACATACGGTAAATGCTGTAGGTGCGGTTAAGGCACGTTAACATTGAAATTATTGGAGGTGGCTGACAAAATTTCGATGCCTCAGGAATGTGACAAGCTGTGTGTACTGCACTGTGTGGTGCCCATTGTAATATGCATGGCAGGCATTGAAGGGCAGTTATGAGGCTTTAAAAACACTAAAAGTGGTACTAAAAACAAAAGGTTTTTTTTTTTTTAGCTTAATGCATTCTTTGCATTAAGACAAAAAACTTTCCATTAGTTGTTCCTTTTCCTCCCAAATCCTGTGAGGAGGGAGCTGGGGGTGTGGCAAAACCATGCTGTGTGCGTCTCTGGATGCACACAGCTGAGATTGAAAGCTTGCTAGCATGGGTGCCCCCATTGTACATGGTTTGCTAAGGGGGCACTTGGAAGAGAGGAGGAGTGGACAGTGCCGGTGGGGGACTCCAGAAGAGGAGGTAAGGGGAACCTCTGTGCAATATCCTTGCACAGAGCAGGTAAATATAACATGATTCTTTTTATTTTAGGGAAAAAGGGAAAAAAAAAGCCTTTAGCCAGTTGCTGCCCAGCCTATAGCCAGATCGGGAAAACAGCTCGTCTCTCCGGGTGGACGCCACATGGCGTGCTTTCAGAAACGCGCATTGCGCATGCCCGCAGGGCCACGCGATCTATCACCGGCCGTGTACCTCGGACACGGCCGATGACAGATCTGTGTACCAGCCCCGTTGCCAGTACCATGTGACCTGCTGTGACCAATTGCAGCAGGTCACATGACAGTTGTATACAATGGATGGCTTCCTTTCATGCCATCCATTGTATACAAGTGTGTCTAGCTGGGAATGGTCACAGCGATCACAGCCCAGCTGTGTCATGTGATTAGCCATGACCAAATCACAGCTAAGCACAAAAAAAAAAAAAAAAAAAAAAAACCCTGAATGAATCGATTTCATTCAGGTAAATGCTTGCTTATAGCAAAGTAATTCTTTGCTGTAAGCAAACTGTAAAAAAAAAAAAAAAAAAAGTTACCATGGTGACATTATACTACTTTGGTCATAGTGAAATATGAAAAAAAATCTTAAAAAAACAAAAAACAAAAAATTAAACAATTGTAAAAAATTATACATTTTTTATTTTTCGTACTGTCACCAGTCAGTGTCCCTGATCACCGCCATGCCAGTTATATGATGACGCTGTACTGCACTGGTGACAGTATGTAAAAAAAAAAATAAAATAGTGAAAATACTTTTTTTAAATTTCTTAATTTTCCAAAAACTTACAACTTCAAAAAACTCGCCATGCCTTTTATGAAATATGTCGGACTCTCTACGTTGCAAAAAGGGGTCATTTGGGGGATATCTGTATTGTTCTGACATTCTTAGACCTCAAGGAATTAGATTGGCTGTCAGTACTTCAGGATTGATCAATATTCAGATCTATATCTAGTTTGTGAACTCTATAACTTTCCTACAAACTAAATAATACATCCTAATTTGGGTTATTTTCACCAAAGACATGTAGCAGAATACATCTCGGCCTAAATTTATGAAGAACAATTATTTGCAAACTTTTAAAACAGAAACAAAAGAAAAAGGTTTTTTTTTTTCAAAATTTTCGGGCTTTTTTGTTAATTTAACAAAAAATAAAAACCCCAGTGGTAATTAAATACCACCAAAAGAAAGCTCTAGTTGTGTGAAGAAAATTATAAAATTTTAGTTTGGGTACAGTGTTGCATGATCGCACAATTGTCATTCAAAGTGTGACAGCGCTGAAAGCTGAAAATTGGCCTGGGCAGGAAGGGGGTAAAAGTGCCCGGTATGGAAGTGGTTAATAACACTTTAAAATGGTTCTAAATGCTGAATGAATTGCATTCTATGAATGAAAATAAAAAAGCTTTTTCAGCTGCTCTCCCCCTCCTCATTGGCTCAGACACAGAAATGGGAGCCATTGGTTCCCACTTTTGTCAATCACAACCAGTGAGGAGGGATTGTGCGGGGCAGGAATGTGCCCCGTTCTGTGTATATACCACGTTTGTCATTTAGAGAAAAAAAATCCTTTATGTCTTTAAATGCTGCTTAATCCCAGGGTATTGACACACATGTGAACCAGCCCTTATTGCATGAAAAGAATGTGGAAATACTTAAAAGGCCATAGCCCAACCACCGGTTATCTTAGGACTGAAAAGATAAAGAGCTTTCATTTAACATAGGAGACAGAAAAAAAATTACCAATCCGAGATGCAGATGGCTGGTTGGTGAACATCCAAAAAGTGTTCCCATAACCCTTCCTTCACAAGATCTATTATCTGTTGCTTCTCACACCACCTGTGTAGACAAACAGGAGGGTCAGAAATGGTTCTGGTTGATGTTTTACAAAGGGTGAGCTGAACACTTACCCGTAGGAGGTGACAAAGCAGGTCTGGCTCTCTACATCTTCTAACTCAATGCGGTTCCTTTCCACTGCCCAGCCATCACCTCCATTTTTGATATCCCAATACTGCAATAGTTCTGAAGATAGAAGAGAACATATTTTATGCCAAAAGGCCAAATTGCTGCTCACGTTACTGCAGCTCTGGATAGCAGGTTTGGCATGTTTGCTATCCCAACTCTAGCCAAAACTTTTTTTTGTTTTATTCCCTTTAGGACATTATTAAATCTCTCCAATGGGGACAAAAGCACTATTTTATTACAGCTGGGGAAGGTTTAGAATTTGACAATGATTTCATTGTTTGCGCATTCCAGAGCTGGTTACAACCACTTTCCTTACACAGCATCACAGGGACGGGAAGTGAAGGAACATTTCTCCAATGTGGTCACGGATAAGAGGCATGGAGGAGCTCAGCTATGAGCAAAGATTAGAGGAACTGAATTTATTCTCTCTTGAGAAGAGGAGATTAAGGGCGGATTGACAACTCATGGGGCTCCCAGGCAATAGGGGATCATGGGGCCCCTGTGTCCTTGCCCAAACTCAAAAAAGCCTATGAAAAAGGTACCAGGGGCATCTCATGGGGCCCCCTACTGACCCCGGGCCCTCGGGCAGTGCCCGAGTTTCTAAATGGTCAGTCCACCCCTGGTGGAAGCTGATGTAGGAGGTTATCTCCTTGGATTGTTAAGGCAGTGTTTATGCTTGTATTGAGTCTCCACATGGTCAGTCCGCCCCTGATCAACATGTATATATACATCAGTGGTTCATATAGTGAACTTGGTGTAGAGCTATTCACCCTGAGGTCATCACAGAGGACAAGGGGGCACTCTTTACATCTGGAGGAAAAGAAATGTAATCTCCAAACACAGAAAGGTTTCTTCACACTAAGTGCTGTGAAAATGTGGAATAGACTCCCTCAAAAGTTGGTTCTGGCCAGCTCAGTGGATTGCTTTAACAAAGTCCTGGATTGTTTCCTAGATACACAGAATAGAACTGGATACTAACATTTATAGGTAAAGTTGATCCAGGGAATATCCGATTGCCTCTCGGGGGATCAGGAAGGAATGTTTTCCCCTGCAGGAGCAAATTGGATCATGCTTTGCTGGGGTTTTTTGCCTTCCTCTGGATAAACTGTGGGTATAGGATTATAACTTTTTTTTTTCCAGATGGTTGAACTGGATGGACTTTTGTCTTTTATCAGCCAGACTAACTATGTAACTATATGTAACTATGTCACAGACTGAAATAGAAACCAAATAGAATTGCCAGCTTCCCCACTCTAAAACTAAATCAACCTATTGGATTTAGGCTTTAAAGATATATATAAACAATTCCTGTGTGGAGGGCTCCGATTGGCTACTTTAATTGCATTTAGGCTGGGCATAGACAAGGGACAGTGGACCCTTCAGATGTGTCTACACAGCTAACTTTCTGCACTGCATTTGGGTCAAATCACTCCTCTTTATTTTCATGCAATAAAACGCATCCATTTCACTGCATGAAAATGCATATCATGTAGACAGAAAATTATCCTGTAGCTAGTTCACATCTTTGTGCGTTTAAAAAAAAAAAGGAATTTTAGCATCACTGCGCTTTTATGAGCATTAAATAGGCCTGGTTGAAATTATAAAAAAAAAACTGCTCACAAAAAGCATGCAGTAGTATGCATCTAAACTTTTTATGATGGAGAGAGGCAGGCGAAAAGTACATCCAAACGCCACTATTGTCCACAAGCAAGGAAGCTTTTTTTCACCCATCTGATTGTCCTCATACACAAAGGTTTAGCAGGAAATCCCCTTCATATCATTCCTGTGCCCTTTAGCTTTGAAGAATACCTGCACTTTTTAGACAATGTGCACTTGTTTTTTGTCCCTTTTCCATAAACAATCCCATCCTCTCCCTCCACAGATGTGTACTGACCGAGATTTGGTGGCTGCAGCCTCCATCTTTTTTACATCCAGCAGTAAAAGACTCCTTCTTGTACACTTGCACAGTACAGCCCCTAAAGCAGTTGAAAATGGGCCGATTTTTCCAAAAAAAACCAAAAAAAACAAATCGGTCGTTTCAGTCGGCCGACGTTACCACCGTTAAAAAAAAAAAAAAAAAAAAAACGGCTGATGTTCGACCTGTCTATGGCCGACATTAACCCCATAACTTCTGTCCCTTGCAGAGACAGGGGAGCACACCATACAATGTGACAGCAATACAAAATACATTATCTGGATTACAATGTTTTTATTTAGATACAAATGGATACATTTGTTGCAATGGCAAGACTTTTTCATATAAAGATATTAGCAGACTGGACTTCCAGTTCGTAGGAAGGATTCAGGTGTCTCCCATTCCTATGATCCTTTAGCAGAATAAAATCTCCATCTCCTTCCAGGTCACGGCTTATGCGCAGATTTTTTTTTTTTATCAGTAAAACAAACAATCGGCCGATTTGCCCATCATTGCCGGGAAAATCGGCCGATCGTCAAAATCGGCAACAAATTTTGCAACATGACCAATAAAAAAAATGTGCAGAAACCCCGAAAAAACGGCCGCCCAATTAACCCACTAGCGGTGCGAAAATCGGCCAAAACAAAAACGGCCGATTTTCAACCTGTCTATGGCCGGCATAAGACCCTTAGGTGGAACCACCTCCTGGCCAGGAGGAGAAGGTAGAAATCTATAAAGCTGTACTGCGCAGACATGGCCAGAAGAGGGAGACTTTCACCGCTGGATGTAAACAAGCAATGGAGGCTGCAGGCACTGGATCTTGGCAAGAATCCACTAGAACAGTGGTTGGCAAGCCGCGGCTCGCGAGCCACATGCGGCTCTTTACACACATGAATGCGGCTCTTCTGTGTGCCGGGCGCCTGCTCCCCTCCCTCCTCTCGGGCAGCCGCCCCAAAAGTCAGGACTCTGCAGCTAGCCCAGCAATGGGCAAACTACGGCCCGGCAGACCTTTTAATCCGGCCCGCGGATGTGGCTGTCAGGATGTGTGTAGGCGGGGCAGCGTGACGAACGTGAGGGGAGGGGAGCTAGGCTCCTCTCACAGTCCGCCCTGAAGACCGGAACGGCGCAGGAACACGGCGAGAGGAACGCGCGGAGCAAAGGTAAGTGAGTGAATTGACACAGGGGGCATGGCTACTTGCCCCCCCCCCCCCCCCCCCCCCCCCCCCCCCCCCCCCCCCCCCACCCCACCCCACCCCCACCCAACCCCCACCCCCCCCCCACCACTTTTACCTCCCCTCCCCCCCCCCCCCCCCCAGTACTACTTGGGGGGGAATAGTACTGTGGGGGATGAATTAATATGGGGGATGAATTACTATAGGGGGGATGAATTACTATGGGGGGATGAATTACTATAGGGGGGATGGGGGGGATGAATTACTATAGGGGGGATGAATTACTATATGGGGGGATGAATTACTATATGGGGGATGAATTACTATATGGGGGGATGAATTACTATAGGGGGGATGAATTACTATAGGGGGGATGAATTACTATATGGGGGATGAATTACATATTTATGCGAACAATCATTTTCAAGCATGAACCTTATCAAGAGTAAATTGAGAAATCGTCTCATCGATGAGAACCTGGAATCGTGCCTAAAATTAAAAACAACAACATACAAACCTGACTTACTCAAACTATCCAAGGAAATGCAAGGCCAATGTTCACATTAGTGGTTGTGACTTTGTCAGTCATTGTCAGGAAGTACTTTTCTCTACATTGTAAGGCAAATTTTACGGAATTTAACGTTATCGATAAATAATAACGTTCTAAAGTTTTTGTTTTATTAGTTGTGTTATTTGTATCCTCCCGACCTATGTGGATACTTGCATGCAGAATATTCTCAATAAAAACTTATTGAAACTAAAAACAGTGTACCATCCTATGTATTTTCAGTTTTAAAAATGTGGCTCTCAAAATAAATTTCAATCGTGGTTTTGGCGAGATTTGGCTCAGTTGAAAAAAAAGGTTGCCCACCACTGCACTAGAAGACCAGGCCATTTCTGGCACTTTTTGTTTACATGTAACAATCAGTATGTTTTTGCTATAAAAATACTTAGATTCCCCAAACGTTATTTTTGTTTAAAGCAGATGCCCTAGAGAATAAATTAGTCAGTGTTGCAATTTTTTACGTTACATGGTATTTGCGCAACGGTTTTTCACACAATTGTTTTAAAAAAAAATACACTTATTTCAAATTTTAATGCAAAAAAATCCACAATACATAACCCGATTTTGGTAAAATATAAAAAATGTAGTGTTACATCAAGCAAATAGATACCAAACATGTCACGCTTTAAAATCGAGCACGCCTGTGCAACAGTGACAAATGACATAAATTTTAGTATCCGTAGGATATGCTTTAAAAACCTTTACAGGTTACCACTTTAGATTTACACAAAGACTAGTGCTAGAATTACTGACCATGATCTGACGTTCGCTGTGATACCTGACACATGTGAAACGATCGCTGTTCACGTGCGTGTGGAATCTTCGCCTGCATTCACCTTTACGCAAATACGGGGGACAGGGGCACTTAAATAAAAAATTTTTTTTTTTAACATTTTTAATCACTTATTGCTGTCACAAGGAATATAAACATCTCCTGTGACAGCAATAGGCCTGTGATAAGTACTCTTTATGGAGAGATCTGGGGTCTATAAGACCCCAGTTTGACGCTAGGATTGCTTTTACAAGACAGCCGACCATTGGCCCTAAAAACGATATCGAGAAGTTGCCTGTAGCTGCAAGCATCATCCAGTATAACCACCTGAAGTCCAGCGACGTATGGATACATCACTGGTTGTCAAGGGGGTATATATCTGTGGAGGGTTGGATTGTGTAGGTTAGTGAAAAGGGGCACAAATCTAAGTGCACTTACTCTTTAAACCCAAGAAAAGAGTATTAAAAGGATAATTCCACATTTGTTGAGAAAAAAAACAAATCTCCAATGGGTGATCAATGTACAGTGCAGGGATTTTACCAATTTTTGGCAGATTCCTACCTTGTTTCTCTGAAGTTATTGCTGTTTGTTTCACTATGCACTTTGTAGACTGATTCTAAATGGGAGGGTTATTATAATCATCTGGTGTACTTAGTGCCCTTTGGGAGTATTTAAACCTTGTGGCGTATCTCACCAGAATGGAAATTCCTGTTGCAGGGGATGCCTAAAATCTGCCTTGTAACTTAGTGCATACTTCTAGGAAAAAAAAAAATAAATCAATCAATGCGCCAATTACAAAAGCAGAAAATTACACTTCTGGGGGTACATTGCTGGTGTACAGAATGCCTCCAGGTTGTCGTATTTCATTGAATTTTTCAGAAAAATACAGCAGCTGCAAATTGAAAAGGATAGAGATTTTAAAAAACAATAAAATTACAACAGGACTTGTGAAGCAATTGTATATGCTATATCTTTTTTTTCTTTTTCACGAAAATGGAGCTGCCCTTTAACTACTTGCCTACCGGGCACTTATACCCCCTTATTTACCAGGTCAATTTTCAGCTTTCAGCGCTTTCGCACTTTGATTGACAATTGCGCGGGTCATGCAAGATTGTACCCATATGAAATTTTTATCATTTTTTTTCTCACAAATAGAGCTTTATTTTGGTGGTTTTATTCGCTGCTGGACCCTTTACTTTTTCTGCTATAAGCAAAAAAATTGCAAAAAAATTTGAAAAAAAAAAAAAAATGTTTCTTTGTTTCTATTATAACATTTTTCAAACAGGTAATTTTTCTCCTTCACTGATGTGCGTTGATGAGGCAGCACTGATGGGCACTGATAGGCGGCACTGATAGGCAGCACTAATGAGGTGTCACGGATAGGTGGCACTGATAATGGGTACTGATAGACAGCACTGATAGGTGGCACTGACTGACATCACTGCTGGGCACTGACTGGCACAACCGCTGGGCACTAAATGGTGGCACTGACTGGCAGCACTGCTGGGCTGCACTGATGGGCACTGGTGGGTGGCACTACTGGGCACAGGTAGGTGGCATTACTGGGCACAGGTGGTGACACTGCTGGGTGGCACAGGTGGTGACACTGCTGGGTGGCACAGGTGGGCGCACTGCTGGGTGGCACAGGTGGGTGCATTGCTAGGCACAGGTGGGTGCACTGCTAGGCACTGGTGGATGGCACTACTGGGCACTGGTGGGTGGCATTACTGGGTGGCACAGGTGGGCGCACTGCTGGGCACAGGTGGGTGCATTGCAAGGCACAGGTGGGCGGAACTTGTGTGTGTGGCACTGAAGGGCACCGATCATCAGGGCACTGATGATCAGTGACCCTGATGATCGGTGCCGATCCCCGCTCTGACAAGTGCCGGTTTTCGGCAGTACTTTCTTCAAGATGTGACAGCATGAGGAAAGTGCAGCCGAGAACCGGCATTTGCATTTCCCGTTGATCAGCGTGTCATTGGACACCGCTGATCACGTGGTAAAAGGCCTCTGTGATTGGCCTTTTACCACGTCACGTGATCAGCTGTGTCCGTAGGACACAGCGATCATGGAGATCGCCAGGGCGTGCGTGCAGGAGAGCGCGTTCTGGGAGGACGTCATATGACGTTCACCCAGAACTGGCCAGCCGCAGTGCAGCCGTCATTCGGCTATCTGCGGTCGGCAAGTAGTTAAACACAAAATCAAGTAAACAAAGCTGGCTAAATGAATACAAAGTATATAAGAAGGCACCGTCTTTTATCCAATCAGCAGAAAAATCTTCTTTCTAGCCTGAGGTCTGAATACCACTTTAAATATTTACTTTTTTAATTTCTGAAAAACACCTGCAAAAAAAAAAAAAAAAAATAGACCAACAGCCCATTGCAGCACATTTGCACAGAACAAATGTATATGCCGTTTCACAGATCGAATAGTTCTATAAGTGTTTTATAAATACACCCAATATATCATGTGTGCTGGAGGAGTAGTAATTTAGCAGAGACCTGAAAGAAATTATAGTGTTACTAAACCCAGAACCCTGCAAACACTATATCTGGTCTCTTACAGTACACAGAACATGGAAATGCAATTATTTTTAGTAAATATAAACTGATTAATACCTTTTCTCATCAGCAGTACAGTGGATATAAAAAGTCTACACACCCCTATTAAAATGTCAGGTTTCTGTGATGTAAAAAAATTAGACAAATAATTTCAGAACTTTTTCCACCTTTTAATGTAACCTATAAACTGTACAACTCCGTCGAACAACAAACTAAAGTCTTTTAGGTGAAGGAAAGTAAAAATAAAAAACTAAAATAATATGGTTGCATAAGTGTGCACACCCTTAAACTAAGACTTTGTTGAAGCACCTTTTGATGTGATTCCAGCACTCAGTCTATTTGGGGATGAGTCTATCAGCATGGGACATCTTGACTTGGCAATATTTGCCCACTCTTCCTTGCAAAAACACTCCAAATCTGTCAGATTGCAAGGGCATCTCCTGTGCACAGCCCTCTACAGACCACCCCACAGATTTTGGATCGGATTCAGGTCTGGGCTCTGGCTGAGCCATTCCAAAACTTTCATCTTCTTCTGGGGAAGCCATTCCTTTGTTGATTTGGATGTATGCTTTGGGTCGTTGTCATGCTGAAAGATGAAGTTCCTCTTCATGTTCAGCTTTCTAGCAGAAGACTGAAGGTTTTGTGCCAATATTGACTGGTATTTGGAACTGTTCATAATTCCCTCTACCTTGACTAAGGCCCCAGTTCCAGCTGAAGAAAAACCGCCCCAAAGCATGATGCTGCCACCACCATGCTTCACTGTGGGTATGGTGTTCTTTTGGTGATGTGCAATGAGGTTTTTGTGCCAAAACATATCTTTTGGAATTATTGCCAAAAAGTTCAACCTTGGTTTCATCAGACCAGAACACATTTTCCCACATGCTATTGGGAGACTTCAGATGTGTTTTTGCAAAATTTAGCTGGGCTTGGATGTTTTTCTTTGTAAAAAAAAAGGCTTCTGTCTTGCCACTCTACCCCATAGCCCATACATATAAAGAATATAAGAGATTGTTGTCACATGTACCACACAGCCAGTACTTGCCAGATATTTCTGCACCTCCTTAAAAGTTGCTGTAGGCCTCTTGGCAGCCTCCCAGATCAGTTTTCTTCTCATCAATTTTGGAGAGACGTCCAGTTCTTGGTAATGTCACTGTTGTGCCATATTTTCTCCACTTGATGATGACTGTCTTCACTGTGTTCCATGGTATATCTAATGCCTTGGAAATTCTTTTCTACCTTTCTCCTGACTGATACCTTTTAACAATGAGATCCCTCTGATGCTTTGGAAGCTCTCTGTGGACCATGGCTTTTGCTGTAGGATGCTAAGAAAACGTTAGGAAAGACTAGAAAAGCTGAACTTTATTTTGGGTTAATCAGAGGCACTTTAAATGATGGCAGGTGTGTACTGACTTCAATTTAACATGATTTTGAATGTACTTGCTTATATCTGAACGCAGCAACATCCCTAGTTATAAGAGGGTGTGCACACTTATGCAACCACATTATTTTAGTTTTTTAATGTTTACTACCCCCCCCCCCAAAAAAAAAAAATTCAGTTTGTTTTTCAACTGAGTTGTACAGTTTATAGGTCACATTAAAATGTTGAAAAAGTTCTGAAGTGATTTATCTTTTTCTAATTTTTTTAGATCACAGAAACCCGACATTTTAATAGGAGTGCGTAGACTTTTTATATCCACTGTACATGGAGATCTTGTATCAACGTCCAGCTGAGTAATGGTTAAACCTTGTAGGAGGAGTTTTCATTCTGGTCTGACTGTCCTATGAGGCTGCATAACCCCTGACCTCTGTCTGGACAGCGCAGATTGGCCCTGTGCTGATTACATGCACCCTCCCAAAAAGAGAAAAAAAACTCTAGCAATACACACCAAACTGAGCATGTGCAGAGTTACTCCTAAACCTCTGTACCATCAGAAGATGGATTGGGGACAGTAGAAGGGGAGGATAATTGAAGACAGGATCAAACTGCCTTTTTACACAATGTGGAGGATTAACCCCTTAGGTTCCACAGTGAGTATAACAAGCATGCTTTACTGCATATACAGACTGATTTTTACTGTGGTGGGTTTAGTAACACTTTAAAGCCCAATTTATTCAAAACATTTTTATGACAAAAAAAACAGGACAGGAAACAATGCAAAAAATCTCTCCAATGAGCGCATAGACAAAAAAAAAACTTTGTTAGTAAAGCAGGAATGGTTGGAGCTTCTGACAGTGTTTCATTGCATCCTGTCTTGAGAGAGGAGGGCACACTTTACAGGTGTTACAACAGCAAAAAGCAGGATGGATAAAAATCAATGATTTAAAAAAAAAAACAAAAAAAAAAACTGATTTTTTTTATTTAAATCCGATTTTTTTAAATAAAATGCTTTTTGGAGGAAACTATATTACCATCCAAAGGTTATTCCATCATGAAATAAAGATTAGTTTTTTAATTATGTAGAATAAGGCTGTATATGTTTAATTTTTTTGGTAAATAAATTCCATGAATCCATTCACAATGTCATGCTCTTCCAGAGGTTTTTGTAAGATTATTGGGCAGTTTCTCTGCCTACAAGATATTATCACAGATGTTTGGTTTACTTTTGCAGTTCTCAAAACTGAATTTGACTCAGCGGAGATCACATGCCTCTTCTTCACAGCAAAAATGTTATAACATGAACAGAGTTAAGAAAAGGACCTTAATCCTAACTTCTACAAACCTATGAATACAGAATCAACCCCTTCAGTGCCAAGTTTCAAGAAGTTCAGTGAATAGAATAGAAACAATATTTTTCTGATTGTTTGGAGTGGAATAGATCTGCACAAGAAGAAAGTGAAACTAAGTGTGAGGAGGAAGGGGCTGACAGTCTAAGTTTCTTAAAATATATATATTTTGTTTAGCCAAATTAGTTAAACATGGATGTTTGTTTAAGCAAATCACATATGCTGTAATGTTATTGTTTCAGTTGAATAAATCTATTTAAATTGTTATTATTAAGGTAATGATTATTTTTCTCCTTCCTAAGTACAACAGAAAAGTTGTCCAAATATGAATGATTAACCTATTAAACTGGGGATAAAAAAACTAATATGAAAAGTTGTTATTCTAAAAATCTTCATCTACTTGTATATTAAAGTCATACCATCAAGAATTAGTCTTTATGTAGAAAACTAGGATTTAAATCAAATCCACCCTGGCAAAAAGTAAAGGGGTATCTTCCCAGTGTGTTCAGAAACATGAAAAAAAAAACAAAAAAAAAAAAAGACATTTTAACTGTTCCCCATTCTATCCAAAAAAAGTTAATACATTTTTTGTTTTGTTTTTGGGGTGGAGTTAGGTTTTAAAGAGACCCTGTCCCCAACATAAAAATTACAGATAAACACACTTGAAATGCTTACTAGTAGTGCTTATATCCTTTCCACAAAATATTCTTCCATTACGTCCCATGACAGCACAGTTGACAAATGGCCCACCTGTGAGGGACAGCAAATAGAGAGTTAATACATTTAGGATAACACCACACCCCCTCAGCAGGCGGGCCAGGACTAGAGGGAGTACTGCCATACTATGGGGAGCTTTGGACTCCTTTTTCTCCTCCCTGGTACGGTTGGCTATTCCCCTTCTCTTTCTGAGAATATATTACACTTTCCTATGGCTTTATTTCTCTTTGTGTTTTTGTAGGGAAAGGGATTAATCAAAATCTACCTCTAAATCAGGGGAGGAGGCTTAGATCTTAACTGTAGGAATGAAATTTCAAACCATTATGTTACAAATGCAAGAGGATAATAGCTGCAGAAGAATCTTTATGATGCAGCAATTAAAGTGGTTGTAAACCTCAGACATTAAATATGAACAAAGCATATCTCTATAGTGTGTACTTGCCTCAATTAAGAGCACCAAGTGTCCGGTCTACTGCCTGGTTCCTCTGCTATCAACATGAATTGCTTCTGGCAAGCTTTCCTGACACCAAGAGAAAAATGGTGACAGGGGAGGGACCTCCAGCAGAATGACAGCCTCAGCTCTGTTCCTGTGTGAAGGGGAGTGTGGCTCTTCCCTCCAATCAGCTCTCTCCACTGAGCTTTGCACAGTGCAAATTCAGCTCTCCGCCCCCCCCCCCCCCCTCTTTTTTGTTAACTCTTTGAATGGATGTAGAGAAGAGAATACTGTAGATAAACAGAAACAACTTAAGTAGGAAGTTTTGTTTCATTTCTGTATCACAGAGGCCAGTCACTTCACTGGGTATAGGTAAGGGTTTACAACCACTTTAATGTAATTTTGGATAAAGCATATCTAAACCCAAAAAGAGAGAATTTTGACTTGCATGTTGTGACGGAGGTGTAGGTGGGACAGAACACACGCAGAGAGCAGTGGGGCACACAAGGCTTTTATTGAGTG